CCCGCGGGGGGGGGGGCCGGGGGTTCCCCGCCCCCTGGGGCCGGGTGTTGGGCGCCGCCTGGCTCTCGGTGCCCGGGAGCAGCGAGCGGGCACGTTTCCTGCCCGGCGTCTGCAAATGTGTGCCGCTGCCCGCCCTGGGCTCCTGCCCTGCCATCTTGTCCCACAATGGCGCGGACCCTCGAGGAAAGGCCGGGGCTCGGAGTTTCCACCTGGGCTGCGGTCTGTTCGGGGCCACTGTTTAGAGAGTGGAGGAAGGGGCTGTTTGGGTCCCGCATGTGCAACAAAAAAAGTTGCACCCTTTTGCTCCTGTGTTCAACTTAACTGTAACTTAGTGGGGGGGATGAAGCTGTTGGAAAGGGGAGGAATTCGGAGCCCCCACTCGTTTTCGAGGGAGTTTCTGAATGGAGACTGGTTATCAGCAGAACCTTTCTCATGTCGCGAGCCCTTCTTCAATACCTTGAAGCCCCCCCCCCCAGCAGGTTGGTTGGGCTTTTCCTGTTTTGGGCTTCATGGGTCGAATGAGTGCCCAGCCTGTCACGTCCCCGGCAGCAGAGTTCTTTGGAGTCTGCAGCCTTTCCTCCGCACGTGCGTGAAGCATGGTCAGGTCCTCATTGGCGGTTAGTAGACTTCCAGGGCGCTGGAAGTTTCCTAGTTGTTTTTTGATTTTAGCATTCTAAAATACTGGCTTATTGTGGGTGAAAAAGCAAAGCAATTAAGGGTTAAGAAGGTTTAAAGTCAATAGTAGGTCGGTTTAGAATCTAAACTGTGAGTCTTTAAAGTTACCATTATATGTAAAGTTGCCTCTTAGTGCCACGTGCTCATGAAAGGAATTGTTTGGGTTTTGGTTTAAGGTATCTTTTTGGGGGGGTGTCTTTTTTTGTATGGCTTGGAGTAAACATCCAGTACCTAGTTGACTGAATAAAAGATTTCTCGTGCTAAAAATGATAGATTTGGAAGGGCAGCATAGTCTGGATTGTTAGAAAACATCATTTGGGCAAAAGTACTCAGCACATTAAGCTTGACATCGTACAGTCGAATAAGGCATTTAATTCTTGTGTAAAGGAACTCTGGTTGGTGTATTTTAAACTGTTTACCTCTTTGATGACACTAATTAAAGAAAATACATGAATAAGTTGTCTAAAACATACGATGTAGATGCACTCACTCATTAAATGTTCAAATCATGAAGCTTAATTTAAATTACTCAGTTTTCACCAGGAATCCTATCTATGATCTTACCTGGAAAGTAACATTGTAAGTCATAAGTGTGGGCAATTTTATTTACAGCCCGGATTCTTTGTCATTTACTTAAGTCATTAGGAAAACTTTTTCACATTGCTTATCGACATTTTCCCTTAGTATTTCAGAAATCTTTTTTTGTTGGTATCGGGGATTGAACTCAGGACCCTTAAATCACTCTAAAACCAGAGTTGCTTAAAACAAAGTTATACATAAGGAGAAATTTGGAATAAAAATGTCAGTTGTCCTCTGTATTGGATGGTACCTCTAAGAAAGGAAAGAATTGTTCATTTATGGTGTGTCCTGTGTCTCGATAACACAATACTGGAATGTAATGGTGTCCTTACATCACTTTTGTAACTTTTGTCTATTTGAAGAACTTGAGAGTTGGTAAAATGTTAAGTGTAGACTAGGTTTTTGGATTAAACAAACACCTGAATTCTACTGCAGTTGGCAATTCAAGTATAGGTAAGTACATGAAAAGAAGCTTATGCTTTAAAAAGTATCAACCATTTTTCATTAGATGAGTTTACTTTTTGTGGTGGGTGATATTGGTAGAGCCCAGCATTTTGCCCACTAGGCTTAAGTATAAAGTAGCACTCACTGAGCAACATTCCCAGCCCCATGATGAGTTTATTAAGTTTTTTTTTCTTGTTATGTAGGACTCATTGAGTATTGGGTGGGGAAGCAAGCCATTGTTCCTTGGGTGTGTTTAGCTTGGTTATCATTACAAGGACTGAACTGGTTCCATAGCTCCACCCTAACACACTGTACCTCTGATGAAATTTATGTAAATGTGTTGGCATAAGGTCTACATTTAGGGCTTGTCCTGAGAATTTACAAAGAATGAGATTTAAGTATTAAAGAGTTTTGTCTTTATGACTAGTTAGAGGTATCTTAATAATTGGTATATCCTGATGATCTTCCATTTCCTTAAACTAAGTCACATTACTTGATTTTACAAAAACAATTTCTGAACTGTTCATTGACTGTGGTTTGGTAATTAGAGCATACTTGAAATGGTAGGCATATATTTAACTATCAACTTGTCCTTAAGACTATGAATTGAATTCATAGTGATTTCTTTTTTTTTTTTTGAGTTTCCTGTATTATCAAAAGAAATGAAAGCAGAAAAATTAGTTTATTTTAAATGTCACTTAGTGCCATGAGTTTTCTATTTTCTTTTTTGAGGGTGGGTGCTGTGACTGAACTCAGGGCTTTGCATGTTACTAACATTCTGGACAGTCACAGCCTTCTTAGTACACAATTGCCGAATGAGGACCTTTCTGTGTGTGGTTTCTGTGTGTGATTTGTGAAGATGCTTTGGAAACATATTTGCAAGAGCAGACCTAGAAAAAGCTTTCTATTCATGCTTTCTATTCCTAATGGTTACATAATAGTGTTAAACGTTAGACTATGGAATATGTAGAGAGATGTATATGCATACTTGGATTTTGAATGTTAATGAGGAAGGTGGTAACTTTCTGGTTAAATAGCTCTGTTTGCTTATTTGGGGTGGAGTTGGGACATAGTCTCTGTAATCCAGATTGTCCTTGAATTTCCAAACCTGCCTTACCTTAGTCTTTTCCAGTGTTAGTGTTGTAGGCACCATTTAAAATAGCTATCGTGAATCTCACTGTTTTTTGAAGGGCATATTTAGTGAATACTCAGTGCTTGGTTATTAATGAATGGCTACTGGTATTAGCTTTAACGTCTTTAAAGCAAAAAAAAATGTCACTTGACTGAAATATTTGTAAGATTAAAATTTTGTGGGAGGAGACTTTGACTTCTTAGAAAGTAAAGTGTGATGGTGCCCAGTGATTTCCAAGTATAGCTTGTAGATGAAGTGTGAGATGTTTACTGTTGAATATGAATGTCGTAAAGCCCCACATGGGTGATATGCCTACCAGCCTTAATAGTGTAGCCTAAACTTTTGTATTGTAAAAATGATTTGCTTATGCTAGTTATTTGTTATAAGGAATAAGGCGAGTTGGAAGAAGACCTGATCAACAACTTCAGGGTGAAGGGAAAATAATTGATAGGAGACCAGAAAGGCGACCACCTCGGGAAAGAAGATTTGAAAAGCCACTTGAAGAAAAGGGTGAAGGAGGTGAATTTTCAGTTGATAGGTAAGCATTAAACAAGATTTTCTTGCTTTGTCCCCTTAAAGCTGTAAATTGGGCATAATTGCCAGGTAGCAGTTGGGGGTGATTATTTAGGTATATCTCAGAAAAATGAATATGTGTTGTTGCATTTGTGTTTATGGATAACATGTTCTAAGTTAGATCTTCTAATAGTAAATATTTTAATTGAGTCAGTGACCAGTCAGTGACCAGTTACTTCTTCCTTTGTCCAGATAGTGAATTTAGAAGGACAGTGGTATTATCTGTCATTCATCATGCAGGCTAGATATGATTACTGCAGTATGACTGATTCAGTGAGTCAGTAAGTTACAAAGCGTGTATTAGCAGCAATGCTTTAAAGAATAGCAAAAAGTTTCTATTTCTAATTCTACCCTTTATATATGAGTAGAAATAAACTTGGAATTTTCTATACCATATATTTAGTTGTTGGGTGTGAGCCAGTAAGCATATTCTAAATTTTTGAGCCTTGTAGTAGATTTTTCCTGTTTCTGGAAACATCAGAGGTACAATTTTAAAATTTGTTTTGTAGACCAATTATTGAACGGCCTATCCGAGGCCGAGGTGGTCTTGGAAGGGGTCGAGGAGGCCGTGGTCGTGGAATGGGCCGAGGCGATGGATTTGATTCTCGTGGCAAACGTGAATTTGATAGGCATAGTGGAAGTGATAGATCGTAAGTATTACTGATTGTTGTATGTTTTAGATTTGAATGTGCTTGTTTAATAAAAAGTAAATTTGAATTTCTAGAACTAAAGAGTATAATGTTAACTCAGTTTTGTTAGTTCTTTTTCACATTACAGTGGCCTGAAGCATGAGGACAAACGTGGAGGTAGCGGATCTCACAACTGGGGAACTGTCAAAGATGAATTAACGTTGGTATTCTGATTTTTTTTAAGTTAAATAATTTGAAACCAAAACTCTTAATAAATATATGACTTATCAATATTTAATGCTTTTTCCTGAGATAAGAATGGATGTTCTGTCTCAAATTGATAATCTTATGATATCTTAATGGGATGTTTATATTTTAAAAAATAGTTAAATAAATTAATAGTTTTATTTTTCTGATGGATGTGTGTAGCTTTTCCTGAAGCCCTGTGATGAAGATACTGGGAGTATTGTAACTTTAATAGTTTGAAGTCTATTGTAATCTTGTCTTTACAAAATCTGATAAGCCCCACCCCCTTTGTTTTTTGTTTTAATTTTGAGATGGGTCTTACGTAGTCTAGGATAGCCTTGAACTTGTAATTAATTACAGCTATCCACTACTGTGTCTGACTTAGAAAGCCTTGTTTTAAAAGTGTGTAATTCAATAATTTGTTTTCTCTTAGAGGTCTACTGGAGAGTAAAATGGATAGAAATAGATAAAATTAGTAGAAATACATAAAGAATGTAAACGTTTTTACCTTGTTATGAAGGACTTTTGCTACATGTAAATGGACCTAGATGCCTTTCTTTTTCTTTCCTTAGAGAGTCTCCCAAATACATTCAGAAACAAATATCTTATAATTGCAGTGATTTGGATCAATCAAATGTGACCGAGGAAACACCTGAAGGTGAAGAGCACCCAGTGGCAGACACTGAAAATAAGTAAGTGGTTTTGTGTGAGGATGTACTGCTGCAACAGGGAAATATGTCTGGGTTTACTAATAAAGTGATTGATACAATGGCAGTTATTTGATGGCACAGATATGAGACCATCTTGTTGTGAGACATTGTCTTGCTGTGTAGTTCCAGATGGCCTGGAACTCAGAATTCTCTAGTCTAAGTCCTGCGAGTACCATACCTGATATAGTGTTGTTGATTAATTTTACTGTTTTCATACAACTTAGAAAGGTTAAGGAATATCTGTATTTTAAGTAAAATCATTAAGCCCTACTTACTCACTAAAATAACATGTTGTTACGCAGGGATGAAGGAAAGGAACAAAGTACCTTGCATTTGAACTTTAGGAAGGATAATTCTAGTGACAGCTGTCCTATTCTGAGATTCTGAATGGGTGTAGTGTGCTTAAAATGAACCAAGCTGGACAGTGGTGGTGTGCAGTCAGAGGAAGGTAGATCTCTGAGTTCAGGGCCAGCCTGGGCTACAAAGTGAGTTTTAGAGCTACACAGAAACTGTCTTGAAAACAAACAAAATTAACCCCTGAAAAAAACCAACTGGGTCAAATTGTTGCTATAAGAGTTATTTAGTCATGTGTTAAGTCATGGTTCAAAGTAATCTCAACATTATCAGTTATAAATACCGAAACTAGACAGAACTTGAGAAACAACTTTGAAAAAATTAGCTTCAAACCATGAAAAGGAATGAAGAGTGTTTGCCTCCCTGTGTGTTAGGTGCACTGCATTCATGCAGTGTCTACAGAGACCAGAAGAGGTATTGGATCCCTTGGAACTGGGCTGTTAACTAATGCTTCAGTAAACAACAGGGTGTGGGTGTATTTTTGGCGTACTGATTTTATTTCCTTTGGGTATGTTGTGGAGCACAATCTACTGGGCATGCATGACATGAGTATTGCTGTCTTGAAATCATGGCAATAACCATTCACCCATGCTCCTATAAATAGCTAAGGAAACTCACTGGTCCACCAAGCAGGTGGAATGATTTTCACCCCCCCCCCCCTTTTTTTTAAAGTCAGATGATGTTTTTTGTTTGTTTTTGTTTTTTGGCTGTTGGGCTGTTTGCATTTGTTACTTTCTACTTTCTATTAGTCATTTGATGAATGGGTTACAGGTATTTTTCATCTGTGCATATTGACTTTTAGTTTCATGTAATCCCATTAGTCAGATCTTGCTTTTATTTCTTTGCCTTTGGGGGTTCTTTGGCCAGATCAATTCCCTGAAGTATTCCTTCCATGTAAACTTCGTTAATTTTAACCTCATGTCTATGGATGTTTTGCCCGTATGTGGTACCCATGGAGGACAGAAGAGGTTATTGAATTTGATCTGGATGATAGCCTGTATGTAAGTGCTGAAGTTTGAATCTGGATATTTGGGAAGAGTGGGTAGTGCTCCTAACTGCTGAACCATTTCTCCAGTCTTGTTTGGTTTTTGAGACAGGGTCTCAACTTTGTTGTAGTGCTGGCCTAGAACTCTCTATGTAGACCAGGCTGGCTTTAGTTCTCAAGAACTGCTTAATTCTGTCTCTAGTGCTGGGATTAAAGGCATATGCTACCACTCCCTATTCAAGTCATGTAAAGTTTTTAACCATTGAATTGGAACCTCTGAGATTATATCCAAAAAAAAGGAAGAAAGTAAGAAAGAAATGTGAAGTGCTATTTTGTTGAACAACTATTAATGATGAAGGGAAGCATTGTATTTTGTAGGCTTGTTGGAATAAGGAAAATAATCACTAGAATATATAAAAAGTAAATGGGATTAAGTGGTCACTTGGCACTGAGAATTTGTGTGTTTTTCTTTGGAGGGGTAGGCATAATGGGTATTAATGGTACCTCACAATACTCAGCACATCTTTTTCCTTTATTAAATGTAACCTGTCACTTTCAGAGTGATTCTCAAAGATTGTAAATGTTTCTCAGAAGGAAATGTTATATTCATGGGATATTAGAAAGGATTCCTCTACCCAGGGGCATTTGGGAATAATTGTTCTAACAAAGATAATAGTCACCGCTTCAGAGCAGTCTATTATAAAGAAGGGGGAAATGGAATGTAGTCTTTTATTTGCAGGATAAGTTGAAGAAGTAAAACTTCAGTAGTCTTTAAAGGTATGTATCACTTACTGTCAGAACTGGTAAGTCACTAAGACAGTTTTCCAGCACTTTTAGTTCTATGATCTGTAAAAATGACTTGATAGACTTGATGGCCAATGTCCTATCAAGATTGAATGTAAATTTGTTTTAGGGAGTTGTAAGATAGAATCTGCCCAAATATAAATAATTACATAAAGATATTTTAGCAATGATGCTAAACTAAATCACTTGCTATTTTTGGAAGGAAGCAGAGCTCCCAAAATAGCAAATGATTTGTCTAGTGACATTTGGAATTAGACTAAGATCATGGATTCCTAGGCCTGTGCTTTATGTGGAAAGGGAAACAGATAGTTAAAATAGTTAAAATTTGGGAAGTAATTATTTTGATATAAATGTTGAAAACTAATTTGTGTTGTGGACACTTCCATTACTAGTGAAACCTCAGTACCCTGTCTGTCTGTTAGAGGTTGGTTTGGGAGTTGGAGTTACATAAAATTTCAGATTTGTAGAAATCAGTATACTTCACTAGAGTGCTAGTTACTAAATTAGAAGAGCAACAGATAGTGGTCTCCTTTATATATGAAATGAAAACGATGGTGTTTTAGTCAGTAAAGCATCTGCTGCTCAAGCTTTAAGGCCTTTCTCTAGCCCCCACATAAAAGCCAGACATGGGTGCACAACTGAACAACCTTAACCTTCACAGTGGGGGTGAGAAGATATTTCTAGAACCATCCAACCTCAGCAGTTGGGGAGCTCCAGATTCAGTGGAATATCTGGTCTTAAAAAGTAAAGCAGAGAGTAATCATGGGAAACACCAGCCTTGACCATTGGCTTATCTTTGTAGGCACATGTGAACACTGGTTTAAGCACCATTTACAGTTACAATGAAATTACGTGAGAGGGATACAGTTTCTAGTTTTAAAGAAATGTGTATTATGGGTTGGTAAGGCCAGTTCTTGTAAATAGTCATTTAAGAAAGCCAGTTGTAATCTGTATTCACAAATTAGTATGCAAGTGAACTAGTTTCTTCCATGCTACATTACATGGTGGTTGCTGGGTTATACAAATGCTGCAATTTTTCTTTGATGGTCTTTCTAACATACTAACAGTCAAGGTCAATTTTCTTACTATTGTAATTGGAGATTATGTATATTGAAACATTTTTTATTTTATGTATATAGATGTTCTGTCTACTTGTATGTGTGTATCATTGGCTTGTCTGTTGCCTATGGAGTTCAGAAGAGAGCTCCTGATCTGGAATTGGAGTTACAGGTAGTAGTGAGCCACCATGTGTGTGCTGGGTGCTGAATGAGCCTCAGTTCTCTGGAAGAGTAGCCAGTATTCTTAATCTCTTAGCTATCTTTTCAGTCCCCCAAATATTCTACAAATTAGTAACAGCCATTAGGAATAAATTTAAATATCTTTTTCACAGGGAGAATGAAGTTGAAGAGGTTAAGGAAGAGGGTCCAAAAGAGATGACTTTGGATGAGTGGAAAGCTATTCAAAATAAAGACCGAGCAAAAGTAGAGTTTAATATCCGAAAACCAAATGAAGGTGCTGATGGACAATGGAAAAAGGGATTTGTTCTGCATAAATCAAAAAGCGAAGAGGTAAAGTTAAAATTGTTTGAATTTGTTCATATGTGGCTTGTTTATATGTGGCTTATAATTTTTGTAGTAAATTTCATATGGATGGATAACCACACACACACACACACACACACACACACACACACACACACACACACACACACACACACACACACTCACTCACTTAGACAGGGTTTCTCTGTTTAGCTCTACCTGTCCTGGTGTTTTGCTCTGTACACCAGACTGTCCTTTACACTCACAGTGATCTGCCCGCCTCTCTGCCTCCCAAGTGCGTGCGCCACCACTGCCGAGCTAATACAGATAACTTTTACACCTTATCATAGACTTACTTGGTGTAGATAATTTTCTCAGTAAGAAAAAAATAATAATCAGGACTCAGAAAATGTTAGTATTCTTCCTAATTATGGAAGTGTCTTATAAACAGTGTTTTTTAGCTAAAAAACCATGAAAGCTAATATAAATACTTGAGAAAGTCCAGCTGATGGGGACTTGTTATTTTTTTTTTTAGCAGCTTTTGCTGGCTTTTTTGATGCCTGTATTTATTAATGTCATAAATTGGGCTGTGCTAGAAAATCAAATCCTGCTATCCCAAGGTGAAGTTTAAATGTTAGGAGGGCAGCCTATAACTTAGGAGATGTAATAAGATTTTGTTCACTTAGTTTTGATACTGGGGATTGAACCTAGGGCTTGTAATGAATGAACTAAATATTCATTTTATTAAAAACCATTTATCCACAGGCTTCATCTTTCCTGAAGCTCTCTCTTTTTCTTTTTTGGTTTTTTTCAAGACAGGGTTACTATGTGTAACAATCCTGGCTCTCCTGTAACTTGCTTTGTAGACCAGGCTGGCCTCGAACTCACTAAGATCCTCCTGCCTCTGGCTCCCAAGTGCTGGGATTAAAGGCACCTTAAATCTCTTTAAGAGGACAAATTTTAAAATTTACTCCCCTCCCCAAAGACAGCTCTTGCTGTCCTGGAACTCACAGAGATCTACCTGCCTTTGCTTCCCATATGCTGGGATTAAAGGTGCAAGTCACTACACTGGCTTAGAATTTCTTTTAGTGATATAAAACTGAAAATGCACAAAGGAATATAGCATTTATACTGTGAATTGTTGAAAAATTTAACACTCACTTTTCTCTTACTGTTAAGCATGTATTGTTTCATAAATAATATTACTTTACTGGTTATACTTTATAACGAATACACCTATATGCAGAGGTGTGTTTAAAAGCATCTGCAGACACCTCCAGAAACCGGTGCCCATGGTAGTCTACATATTACTACTGTGACAGTGTTAATTTTTTTTTTCGAGACAGGGTTTCCCTGTGGCTTTGGAGGCTGTCCTGGAACTAGCTCTTGTAGACCAGGCTGGTCTCGAACTCACAGAGATCCGCCTGCCTCTGCCTCCCGAGTGCTGGGATTAAAGGTGTGCGCCACCACCCGGCAGCTCTCAATTTCTTGATGCATTTTGGTTTTTAGACGTACAAATGGCTGAGACAAATATGGGAAACACTGTCAAATAAGTTTAGAGAAGGGATGGTTTTTAATATTTGCTTCATATAAATATAAATGAGGAATTTGTCTTAAATGTCAGGTCTTTAAAAAAAGTATATTTTGTTTCATGAGAATTTTTTTTTAAAGATTTTATTTATTATGTATACAACATTCTGCTTCCATGTACATCTGGACACCAGAAGAGTAAAACTGTATCTTCATTGTGTATACTACCTGCTCATTAGTTAACTAATAGCTCATATATCCAAAAAAGAAGTGTAGGGTATACTGGTTTTAGGAATCTTAGTGAATTTTATTATCCAGCAAATATTAGGGACTACTGTATCATGCAAGGTAAGATACAAGAATTTTTTGAAAATTATAAAATGTTCATTTGCAAGTCAACTTATATTTAGATTCATACATTTATTATAGCTCTGTGGTGTGAATACTTATTTAATATAGCCTTACTGATTTTAGCATAGACATTACCTGTATGACAGATAATGGGATGGTTCTGAGGTTAGAATGTGGTTTGGAGGTGATAAATTTTATCTCTGTACTGACAGAGCGTTAAGCAGTATTCTATTAATTCTTCCTTTCAGGTTGAAACATGAAGCTTGTATATAAAGACCATCTTAGTTTTGTAATGCCCCTTTTATTAGTAAAGTGCTTCTAGTACATTTAAAATATGGATTTATTTATAGTTCTTAGAATCACTTATGTAAAGTTTATAATGTGTGACTTTTGCAGTTGGCAGTTTGTGTGGAAGAACAACGAAGGTTGAGTAATCCTTGACTGAAATGTATGAAACTAAACGTTTCAAGTTTGGGGATATTTGTCCAGAAATCCCAAATTTGAAAATCATAGAGCGAAAAAAATTTTGTATTTGAGATAGGCATGTTTGTTCTACTTATAATTGTATGTAAACAACAATATTCCATCTTGGGTAGGAGGGCCTAGTGTGGGAAAATACAACAAAAACCTCAGATTTATCACCAGTAGAAACTGCATGTCTTTTATCCAAAGACCATCAGGAATTCACATTGGAATTTCAATTTGGACCTGTTTCAAATGTCACATAGATTAACTGCTGAAGATTTAGGACTAGAGTGGGAACACTTAGATAATATGTCATTAACCAAGGACTGCTGGCATCACCTGCAATTCAGAGCAATTTGTAGTAAAGTTAAAAGAATCATACTTGAAAGTCACTACCTGGCCCCCAAATGAACTTATTACCTGTAGAGCTAGAAGTAGATATACAAGATTGATAATTGGTCTTTTAGATAGAAAATACATTTAGAAATTTTGCAGCATTACTTTTATGTTAACACAAGGGCCTTCACTTACATTTTAGGCTCATGCTGAAGATTCGGTTATGGACCATCATTTCCGGAAGCCAGCAAATGATATAACGTCTCAACTAGAGATCAATTTTGGAGACCTAGGCCGCCCAGGACGTGGTGGCAGAGGAGGACGTGGTGGACGTGGACGTGGTGGACGTCCAAACCGTGGCAGCAGAACTGATAAGGTAATTTTAAGATACATTTTTTTCTGTTTTAAGCAATTTAGGACTTGTAAGCAATTACTGGCTGGATATTTTAGAGGGTGGGGGGATAAATAGAACTGAAGAAAGAAGTGACTTATTTTCAAGAAACATTTTGTGGCAGTTGCACTGTGTGACTCCAGCCAGCCTGGAGCTCAACTAAGTAGACCAGGCTGTCTTTGAACTCTTATCTGCTGTGGAGTGCTAGTTAGTATTAAACACATGCACCACCACACCTGGCCTTAGTTCTTAGACATAATGACAAGAGTAGTGCTGGCCAGGAGTAGAATTAACCATACTATTGAGTTCTTACTTTGTGTTTGTCAGGGTGCTTTTTGTATTTTTTTTTTAACTCTGGGGATATCCTCACTGCTGAGTAAATTGATGTATAGAAAATTCTTAGGATTGCTAATCCCTGAAACACTAGTCTGCCATGATTTAAGAGTGGGATACAATGTTACTTTTGTTTTTGGGTGTTACCTATATCATGCTGTTCCCAAACTTCCAATCAGGTCTCACCCTCCCTAAGGACGGTGACTTGTAGGCCCTTTATACCATGTCTGGCTCTAAAACAAGTTCTTAATGAGAATTTTGATAGATGCCAAAGAGCTGATTTTGAATTCAGAATTATATTGACAAAGTATTAGGGTTAACCTTAGTGTCTGGCTTGAAAAATGAACCATAGAATCCTGAAGTCTTGGTCTTTTTTTTTTTTTTTTTTTTTTTTTTTTTTTTTTTTTTTGAGACTGGGTCTCACTACACAGCCCTGGCTATCCTGGAACTCAAGTGGCCTTTGCCTTCCAACAACAAAATCTTTTCGGTGGGGTGGGAGGGTTGCAGCAAATGTAGCAAACTGTGGTAGAGCACTTAACCTAGCAATGTATAAGTCTGTATATGATTCCTGTTATGTCTGATAATTAAAGTACATTATTGGAAATATGCATAGTTTTAATATGATTTATAATTTGTTTTAAAAGTAAAAGCTTTGATCTATTTAATGTAGTGTTTTAACAGGAAGACTTTAGAATTCAGTAGGCACTAGCAGGCTATTTTTAAGATTTGAGAATTGTAGTTAATTGTTTGTTTTTGTTTTTTTTTTCCTCCTCAGTCAAGTGCTTCTGCTCCTGATGTAGATGACCCAGAGGCATTCCCAGCTCTGGCCTAACTGGATGCCATAATACAACACTGGTTCCTTTGTGGACCCTCCTGTTCAAAGCTTTTGCATGCTTAAGGATCCCAAACAACTAAGAATTAAAAAAAAAAGGGCTGTCATTCATACCATTCACACCTAAAGACTGAATTTTATCTGTTTTGAAAACGAACTTCTCTAGCTACACAGAAGTAACAAATATGTTAGTCAGTTTTGTATTTAGAAATGTATTGGTAGCAGGGATGTTTTCATAATTTTCAGAGATTATGCATTCTTCATGAATACTTTTGTATTGCTGCTTGCAAATATGCATTTCCAAACTTGAAATATAGGTGTGAACAGTGTGTACCAGGAAAAGGCTTTCACTCATTTGTGTTTTTTAATTAAGGATTTAGATGTTCCCTCAATTACAAGCCGGTTTTAAATATTAGCCAAAATACTGGTTTTAATATCTGCTTTGCGTTTTCACACATGGTCAGCTGGGACATGTAAACTTCTGATTTACCAGATTTTATGCTTCATGGAATACTAACCACTATGTATTTTAACTTTATTTTTATTTGGGAGTTGGCATTTTTTTCCCCCACATCTTATGATAGTTGATATATACTAAATCTTTATACAGAATTATCAGTACTTGAATGAATTCAAAACACATTGGTTTATTAACTCTTGACTCATGCATGGTTTATTAGGTTCAAATTATACCTGATTCACCTATATTTACTTTTAAAATGTGTGGCTTCCCCATTTTAAAAGTAGAGCTAAACACTGCTTTTGGAACTTGTGTAAGCTACTTCCTGTTGAGAGATATAGCCTGTGTTCAGTGCAATAGTTCTGTGGGTGTGGGTTTTATCTTCTCTCCAACAAAGTGGGTGGAGTAAGTTAATTTGGTTAATTCCTAATAGTTAAACTTGTGTAAAATAAGAGCCTGGCCATTTGGTATTTGTGTATGAAAGGCCCACAAATCAAGAGGGTTATCTGTAATCAACAATCTTCTTGATTTAGAAGAATCAAAGGGCACTCATTGGTTAGTATGCTGAGATGGAAAACTATCTTGTATTTCAAAACCAGCTTTACTTTTAGTTTGGAACAACACCACATATAAAATTACAAAATAAGTATATTGTTGATGAATTTCCTATATATTGTTATGATTTTTTTTCCTGAGTTAATAGATAAATGTTTCATGGAAAGTGTTAAGTATCAGTTTCCATTTCCTCCATTAGAAAATTAGGTAATTATTTAAACAGAAGCATTTATTAAAAAGTATATATATAGAATGCTCAAAAAACAAGTTTTCTAGGATATTTTTATTCACATTAATTAGCCAGGGAAGGAATTTTATTCAAAGCTTTAAGACTTGTCAGTATTTTTTTTTTAATCTGTTATAATTTTGGGCATATTGGAGATCTTAAATTTTACATTTGCTAGTTAGATGGTTGGTTTTTATGTGCACATCTAAAAGATTCATTTAATTGCATTGACTGGTTGTGAGTCTGATGACTTGGAAAGAGGGGTTTTTTTTGTTTTTTTTTTTTTAAATATATGTGCTGATACTTAACGCTGTTGCCTGATGTTTCACATGTTCAGATGCCTCTTCTCCAGAGGTAAGGTTAGTCCATGTGAACTTGTTGGCCCTTTGAGATTACAGCATATGCACCCTTAAATCAGTATATTTAACCTTTCAAGTATTTTAATTCACTTTTTAATAGTAACATCTTTATAAATCCAGATTACCACCTCTTAGAAATACAGGTTCTACTCAAGAGTCACTGGCACCAGAAAACACATAGGGCATTTGCAACATTGTTGCAATCTTTCAAAGTAGGTTGAAATTGAAGAGGAGGTAGGTTTCTTCTGTCTGGTACCTGTGAATTTCCTTTCAGGTTTACTTTATGTCAAGAACTAAAGGTAGACATTCTGTTTATTGAAAAATAACAATTTATTTTCATGCTCATTTCCTGAAAGATATAAAAGCAATATGTTCCTTGGCTTCCCTTTTTCTGATCTCTGCACTGTCAAGATAATGCAACTTTTAAGGTTTTAAATGTTTAAATATCATGTGAGGTTTTAAATGAACCCGATAGGTCCTGTATTTCGAGGAATACCTGTCTTAATGACGAAATTGGGGAAGTTAGTACAATAATTTCAAAAGTGGTTGTAATAGTTGGCTTAAATGCTTTAAATATAAATGGCATCAGTTGAAATTTTTAGCATAGTTCCAGCTTGGATTGAAGGAAGGATATAGTTTATTAGTTAAACGATTTGGCATTGTTCAGAGATCTTAAATGTACCAGCAAGTACTACAGTTCAAGACATGTGATTTCCAGAGTTATGAATGTATTTGGTTTGTTTTGGAGAGAGATTATTGCATATTCCTTGTGATTGTTATTTTTATAATTACCAGAAATGATTGATGACATAGAAAAGATGTTGTACTTAGTTTGCAAGTAAAATGTAAGTATTTTGTGTTAGATTTTTAAAAACATCTTAAGAGCATTAGCAGGTTGAAGAAACCAGGTAGTAAAAATTAAAAATGGAAAGCTGCCAGAACCTTACTGATGCTGACTTTAAAGGTAAGACAGTGCAGGCACATCTGGACAGGTGGCCCAACATGACCTAATTGCTGTAGTACACCTATGATGCATGCCATTTTGCTTCCCTACCCACACTCTCTGGGTGCTGGGTATCCGTGCTCAGCAAGTATGCTGAGCTTTAACCGAAGCACCACAGTAAAGGAAGTTTAGAAAATATATTCTAGCCCAAACGTTTGTGATTGTAATGAGATTAATATGTGAATGCTAAATCTGAATGTCATATCTCCACATTAGCTAAAAGCCAGAAACCAAACTACTAGTATGCTTTGAAGAGTATGTCTAATAACAAGGCAGTAAATATTACCTTGTTGAACCGTCTTAATAATTTGTCTGCATAGGCAAAACTAATTTTCAGGTGTTTTTTTAAAGCTGATTTGAAGTGCTAGGGATTTGTGTATTCTAGGCACATGTTCTGCTACCAAGCATTCCTCAACCCAAATTGATGGGTTTTGTTGGGGAAAAATTAGTGACTGCTTTCCTAAGTGTGAGTAGGTTTTGCTAGCTGTGCCCTTCCTGACTGCTGTTCCTGATCATCCCAGGCCAGAATGTAAAAAAAGCTCCTTTAAAATAAAAATTTACCTCTAAGTATCCATTAAGTCATGCTACTCTTAAAAAAATCTGTCACTTTAAAGTGTGGGGTTGAGGGTGGTGTCTATCTGGTAGCTACTTGCCCGTAGTCTAAATACTGTAGAGGCAATATCTGGTAGTTAATTTTACTTTTTTAAAGATTTGTGTGAGAGAGTGAGCGAGAACACATATGCCCATTCAATCCTGAAGAGGATTGATTCCTTAGAGCTAGAATTATAACTCTAGCCCCTGATTTTGTTGTTCCTTTTTTTTTTTTTTCTTTCTGAGACAAGGTTTCTCTGTGGCTTTAGAGACTGTCCTGGAACTAGCTTTTGTAGACCAGGCTGGTCTCAAACTCACCTCTGCCCCTGCCTCCCAAGTGCTGGGACTAAAGGCGTCCGCCACCACCACCTGGCACGATTTTGTTGTTCTTAAACAAGATATTTTGCTTGTATTGGTTCAACTGGTGCTAATGTCTAATTTGTAGAAATTTATTTTCATACACACAGAAAATGGTAAATGCCAGGTTAATTTATTTGACTAGAATTTTGTCGTGGACTAAATGCTTCTAGCCAGTGAGTACCAAGTGAGACAGCTTATTTTATGTCCTTTTCATTCCCAAAGTTTAGAGCATGAACAAACGTTCTTTTATACCTGGAATCCACAGAGACCTAATGTTTGGTTTGTTGGCAGTTTGTGTCGAGTTTCTTCCTGGGGCTCTTGGTCATTCAGTATTTACTAATGAATTTTAAGGATAGGCTCAAGAAGATTATGATAGCCTTTTCCCATTTTATACATGAGCATGCTGAGGTCTCCATGATTTGTGAAAATAGATTTATGTTTAGAGATAGGCAATTGGGTGAGATTTTGAGTGTTGTGTGTTTTTTTTCTAGAGACAGTGATTTTTGCTCAGGATTATAAGCTGGCGTGAAATTTAGGGTCTCCAGTCTAGGTTTTCTGGGTGCGTTTGTAGTAAGACATTACCATGCTTGGCAGCTCTTCTATATTATTCCTGAATTTCAGAATTTCTACTAGCTTCAGCTTGATTTTATATACTTTTTAAATTGTATTCCTTATGTATTCATGAAGGGCTATGTGGGTGTTCACACCTAACATAAAGTCAGACAACTTTGCTATATGGTAGTTGATTGTCCTCTTGTCAGCGTTGAGGGTGGAATGGTGAATCCATACTCTCAGTTATGTAGTATGTGTTTTTTATTTGTCCGTAACAGTTTATGCCTTCCAAAAAAAGTGACACTTTGTCACTGTATCAGAAAGAATCTAGGTTAATTTATTAGTAGTGATAGGTAGGCCTAGCTTGCATACATGCCATTTTAAAAGGCAAGAGGTAGAGGTAATTTTTCCTGAAGTAGAGGATGTTGCCAGTAAACTTGACTGCAAGGCTTTACTGGCAGGATAGCACGGATGCTTTCTTTTTTCAGCGTAATCAGTCTCTTGATACACAGTTTATTGCACTTTAAAAGTGCTCACCTCCCTGAGAAAGGTAGAAGAGATAGAAACAATTTTCTAATTGTTTACAGGAATTGAAAAGAATCTAAAAACAGATTTCGGGGGAAACTGTTTTAGGGAAAGAAAACAAGTGGTCAGTAGTCTTACTTTGTGATGGAGTAAGTTAAGTTCTGTTTCTAAGTGAAATCTAGTGAAAGGGATGATTAAATCTGAAGCTTAGCAAATGAATATGGTAGCGTTTTTGTTGTTGCTTATATTCAGTTTTGAAGGTGTTGCAGTTTTATAAACAAGGTTGCTGGCTGGGTGTTGGTGGTGCACACCTTAAATCCCAGCACTTCGGGAGTCAGAGGCAGGCTAATCGAGGCCATCCTGGTCTATAGAGCAAGTGCCAGAATAGGTTCCAAAGTTACGCAGAGAAACCCTGTGTCAAAACTAAAAAAGGGGAGGGGGGTTCTCTATGAACTATGTAGGCAAAGACCAAGTTGGTCTTGAGTAGTGGGATTAAAAGTATAAGCCACTGTACTCCGGTGTTCTAATGAAAATATTCTTGAGTTATTTTGAGAAGTTTATGAGATTTAATCTTCATAGTGGTACTTGGTTATCCATTTTCTAAAAAAGTATCCATAAAGAATAGCCAATAAGTAGAGTGAATTAGCCTTTTTTTCTGACTTCGAAAAATTTATTCATGGCACATATTAAGACATCTCTTTTTGGAATTAGGAGGTGGAAGATTATTCTGTTTCAGAGGCAATTCTGTGCTTGATGGTACTTAAGGCTGTAAAATTGAGCTGAAGGTTTTAAGGACCTACCTTAAAAAAACCAGCTTTCCACACCTCCCAAGAAAAACAGCATGGTTTATTTTATCAGTGTGATAGGTTTTTTGGTTTTGTCAACTTGACACAAGCCAAGTTGTCTGGGAAGAGAGGGCCAATGATTGGGAGGTGCCACCTCTGTATTCCTGGGTTGTATTTAAAAAAAAAAAAAAAAGGGCTGAGCATGCCAGTGAAGAGTTTTCATGGTGCCTTGCTTACTTTCCTTAGTAGTGGATGGATGGATGGTGATTGAAATGTGTAAGACAAAAGAGCCTTTTACTCTCAAGTCTGGTTTAGGTCACAGCAACAAATTAAACTAGGGCATAAATTTGTACCAGGAGTGACAGACAGACCTACCTGGCCCTGTTGCTTTGGGGAAGATTGTGGACATGCTCAAAGCTTAATGGGCTGTTGTGTGGGAGCTTGGAAGGTGAGTGCTCAGAACAAACAGCGTTTCTTCATGGTCTTCACTCCTTCCCTGGCTTCTCTTGGTAATGGTCCACAATGTTTTACCATACCAATAAAAGCAAACATGCGGAAGTTGGTACCAGTAGTAGAGTTCGGATCTATACAGACAGGTCTAATGTATGGTCATTGTGCTCCCCCATCCCCAGGTTTATCGTGTAGCCATTCTATGTAGATGCTGGGAATTAAACTCTGGTACCCTGCAACAACAGTGCATACTTTATTACAATTTGTTACCATTTTCTGTGTGTTTTACATATTAACTATGCACTGCGCATGCTGTAACCATGGAGAAACAGCTACTATCTGTTAAGTGCAGCCTGTGACCTTCAAAAGAGCAAGTTGCTCTAAACCACTGAACTGTCTATGCAATATACTTTTTCATCAGTTTCATGCCCTGTCTTATTTAGGGGTACCAAAATGTGAAAGGCTAAGTACCACATCCCTCTAGCATACACAAGGCCACAGTTTTATTTGTACCACCACTAAAAAAAGATGTAAGGCAGAAACCAGTGGCACAATACAGTTTAGTTAGAATTTTGTTTGTTTAGAATTCAAAATCAAGTACAGTCAAATTCCTTGAAATCTACAGTATTTTATTGTACAGATAATACTTGTTTTCTAGTACCACCATTTTAATTTACTGTTTAGAAATCCTGTGTTCTTGGGACATTAAGCTAGTCTTGGCTATGTTGATGAGAATTAAGTTAGCTGTTGAACATTTTCCAACTACCCCTCAGAATTGGTCCACTAACACAGATTCTCTGACTAATAATGGCTAACTTGTTTTGTAATGTTTGCTAATCAGTACTTGATTTGCTTATTTTTCTTGTTTGGTTTTTGAGACAGGGTTTCTCTGTAGACCAGGATAGCCTCAAACTCACAGAGATCACCTGTGTCTGCCTCCGTCCCCTGACCTGTTTTGCATTTATTTGCCGTACTTTGTGTACAAGTGCCTTATTAAGGGACCCATTTTCTATTGGTTTTGTAGTAGTTCTATTCTGTTAGAAGGTTATTTTGTTGTAAACTATAAATTACAGTTTGATTCTTTCTATCACTCAGATTGCAAATCCTACCTCATCCCCTGCTTGCGGGGAATCCAACCCAAGTTCTTATGTGGTAGGCTGCTGCTGTATCTATCATAGAGTTATGTCTTTTAGTCTGAATTGCTTTTCTATTTTAGGGAAGAAAGGTGGTCTTTATCTGAAGGTCTTATCTGAAAGTGTCTTGTTCTGAAAGTTCTACCTTCTCAAGGAAAGTTTTCATAAAGTGGGCATGAGTCTGTAGGCTAGACGGAAAATTAACCTTGGAAGGGCTTGATCTTTGATATTGGAGGACTTTCAGGTGACTCAAGAATGGACCCTACTTAGAACAAGAATGGAACACAGGGAGTAGCTAGTGGCATTTCTTTTCCTGGCTCCAGGACTTGTGTGTGCTGGGGTTGTAGCTATTAGTGGGAGCTGAAAAGTGTTGGTGGTAGGCTTAGGCCTAGGTGGAAAAGGGCGAGGATTAAGTTTGACATTCCACTTGTCTGCAAGATAGGACTAGGATGTAAAAACTGGCTTCTGGGAAAGGGACATTTTCGGGGCAGTTTGAGGGTTCCTACCTGAACTTGAGGTCTAGACACAGAGTTGTCTAACAAAGTCCTGCATCCCACCCTCACACCTTCAAAACAAAAGAAACCAAACTGAAAGGAGATTCCCATGACCTTGGCATTTAGGTTCCAGACATCTGTGGAATTTTAATTTAAATATATTCCAAAGTAAACTAAAAAGTAGTTTACTTTGGAATATATTTAACAGTTTAAAAATACCAAGGAATGAAAGACTCAACTATTTGGAGTTTTATCTGGGGGTCAGAGGAAGAAAACAAATTGCAAAACTTACAGTTGCTCTGTGACATTCATTGAGAACTCTCAAATCTCAAAGTGACCCATGCTTAATGTATCTTAAAAGTATGAATGCCCCTTACGTGGTTTTGTTTTTTTGTTTTTGTCTTATAAAGTTTATGCTAGAGTAGCCGGCGGGAAGCCAACAGAAGTGATGACAGGTGACATGACCAGGCACTATACTGGGGGACATCTTGCCAAGTTGTCTGTAGATTAAAGTGAGAAGCTTGATGAAGAAAAGCATGGAAGAGGCATTCAGCCTTACCCAGAACCCTTAATGAGTTGGGAAACGTTGACAAAAGAGTTTCACTATCATCCGTGGCTTTGGTGGATGGGGTGGGGGGAGAAAAGCAGTTTGAAGATAACTGAGGAAGACCACAAGCAGTAAGAATAATAGGCTGGCCTGTTTTTGAGAAGGTGGCCTTGCTATGCAGTCAACTAGGGCACTTGATGGGTGCAGAGATGCCAAAGCTGACAACTGACCAGTACTAAGTAGGGTAGGATAGAAATGTAACAGAGCCTAATACTCTGAAAAGGACTGGAAATTAAGTCTGGAATCAAGAAGCAATTATGTTTATGAGCAGACTTAAATGCCTTCAATTTCTAGTGCTACATAGGAAACAAAAGCTGATAACAGTTTACAGGACTGGCTTATATGGGCACATTGCTAATTTTGGTAGGTTAGAAAAGGAAGTGCAAATTTGCAAATAGATAAACTTTATTAAACGAAAGTACCAAATACACGAAAGTAGTCACTGGAGAAGACAGGGTGGGGGTAGAACCAGGCTTTGCATTTTAGAGTGGCACTTGACTTCCCCAGTGGTGGAATAGGAGAGGATGCTGAGTCAGGCCATAGTTACACAAAGAAAAAACATCGAGGTCCAGGTTGTACATTGAGGTTTTAGAAAGCAGCAAGACCCTATGGTGAAGCTAACTTAATCAAGAGAACGCTAGTTTGACTGCACTGTCAAGCTACACCCAGGCCTGATACTGCCAAAGATGGTGGCCACTGGAGAAGGGACTGGGTAAATAGATGTGTTGTGCTGTTCTTGTAATTATATTAATGGGCACACTCACTGCCTTTCTAGTTATCAAGACTCATTACTCATGAGAGAGTCATACCCCATCTTTAACTGATCCAGAGTCAGCCTCTCACCACAGAAGGTAAGTGGGCGAAGAGAATTTGATGCAAAAATGGAAAGAGAGATACGTTGGTGCTCCAGTTCTAATGAATCAGGTGGAGAATCCTCTTGTGAAGGAAAGTCTCTGATGTTAGAGGGTAAATAGCCTTCATGACTAGGAAGGTAGTCCACTGCGGTAACTGTCAAGGAACTGGTCAGATTGCCCAGTTTTGAGTCGGGTTCTCTGCTTCCCAGTACCTTGTATAGATTCACTAGTTGCCTTGTATCAGCTGTGAGAGTTCCTGTAGGTTGTGGACTGGAGGAAATGTATATTGTGTCTTCCTTGGGGGTAGAGTGACCTTGGAACCCTTGACCCCTTTTGGGGCAATAGGGTTGTCTGAAGACTGGGGCCATTTGGTAAAGGACCTCATTGATGATCAGGGGCTCAGGCTCTTCTGGAATGGGCCAGGCCATTGGGAGACAGTCCATGGGTAGCTGGGTCTTCTCCTAGGAGAAGGAAGAATGGATATGTAGGTTACTTTTAACAGTCCATTTCTCTGGGTTTCCAAAACCTCATAACCTGCCCAGACTCAGCCCTATGTGGGAAGCTGGGCCTTTAAATTTTGGAGGTGCCAGAGCCAGACATCCACACCCCACTCATCCTTGCCAGTCTCCAGCTATGGACAGAATGACTGACGTAATCTTCAGTCTGAATCAAGCTTTTTTTTCCTACTGGCAAGGGTGTGGAGGTGGAACAGAAAGGCTAGAGCAGAGTCTAGGGAGAGATGGAATGTTTTTCGGGTTGAAAGTGGTAGAGGAAAGTTGGTTTATTGAGCCTCCAGGTTTGTTGCTCCCCATCCTTTATTGCTGAGAATCAAATTTGGGATTGTACATGCTAAAGCAAGTACTTTACTGAATCACGTCCCCAACCCTGTTATTTGTTAGAAAAAGCAGGATTTAGAAGTGGGTTAGACTACTCATGAAAGACATTTATTAAAGAGACAGCATCATCAATATGTAGCCCTGGCTAGCCTAATCTCAGCCTCCTAAGTGCTGGGATTAAAGGTATGCATCATCATGCCATTAAGGTCTTTTTAGGGCCTGCTAAGGAGTTTGGGCTTTTATGGAATTACATGGATTCAAATAAGGTTCTTGTCATATTGGCATTTTAAAAGAGACTACTTGATTGGCTTTCCTGTAACAGATTTTCATCTTCCTCTTTAGCTAGTCTTGATAATTCATTACTAAATTTTTCTGTTAACTTTCTCAGCATTTCTTTGGTGTATTCTTTTCTAAGTTTACTTCCAGTTCTCAAGTCCAAGTCCTACCAGGCTTTTGTTGAGTTCTTACATCTTACTGTTTCACACAGTTTGCCTGGGCTTTCCAAGGTAGAGCTCCATGCATTAACACAGCCTCATGTGATAAGATTTCGGCCTGCAATCTGTTCCTTTCTGTATCTGTTTCCTGTTTTACTTCCATATTTCTTCTCGGTGTCATCCACACATAATGGAATTAGTTCCCTATTCAAGTTGCACAAGAGAGTCTTGGTATAATTAGTCTCTGATATGACGACCTTTGGGGGCATAATAAGTGTCAAGAAAGGAGTAATGACACTGTCAAGAGTTACATGAAGGGCTTTCATCATTCTTTTAAAAGACAGCCCTCCCCTGGTCATCCTCAAGCTGGTCCTGTCATGTAGGCTTGTCTAGGAACATGCATATATGTATGACAGCTGTGCCAAAGCAAGGTTACCACTTGTGGGAGAGATTAACAGGATGGGAGAAGGTGTTTGTTTTTACTAGGTGAGTTGTTCTGCCTCTGTGGGGCAGTACTGAAGACTCCTCCCCTGCACTTCCTTGGGGCTAGCTTCTAGAAAGCCCCAGGTTCCTTTAACAGGTTCAGTAACACCATAGGCACTGAATTTAGCTTGTATAAGATAGACAGCATTCCAGTGATCTTCTGTGTGGTTTGGCCTTTTCCTTCAGAGCTTTAAGGTATTTCTTAAATACCTTAATTTAAATACCTTTCTAATTCTATTTTCTGTCTCAGGCCCGAAGTACAATATGTTTTTTTGTTTTTGTTTTTTTGGACTACCTATGTACTTCAGAGCTCAAAACATCTGAGCTGTGGGAATTTCTCAAAGTCTTCATCAACTAAAATTTTAAAGGCTGTTTATTAAATTTTGTGTGTATGAGTGTTTTGCCTTCATGTATGTTGCGTACCACATGTGTGAAGTACTGGCAGAAGTCAGAAGAGGACATTGGACCCTAGAGGTCGTTGTGAGCTATTTTTTAGATGCTAATAATAACTGAGTTCAGGTCCTCTTTAGCATGAACAAGGGCTCTTAACCATTGAGCCATCTCTCCAACCCCTAAAAGCTACTTAATTTTTTTCCAATTGACTCGAAAAAACAAATAACATCAACAACAAAAACCCAAATAGTTCAGAAGTCAAAATAAACTTGTAATTCTCAACTTCTCTCCAGAGGCAGCTACCATAATGGGGTTATGTATTTGGCAGGCTTCTATAAGAGCCATCTCCCTCATACCCATGAAAACTACGTTAAGCAATTGTTAGAAACTTGGCTTTTTGTGAGACTCATATCTCACATTGCTCCTCCTGCTTTAGCCTCCCCCAGTTTAGAGGTTATATACATGTACCCTTTACCTCCTACTTGTAAGTGGGTTCAAAACCCACATACAGGTCTGTCTCTTCTTTATGCATGTTTTATTTGTGCTCAGATTGTTGTGACAAATGTATTTCTGCCATGGGGCTTTAGGCATGTGTTTACTGGCACTTTACTGTCTCTAAACTATTGTGCATCTTATTTGGCATTTTGTCCAGCCTTGTAGCATCTTCTGAGTGTCTCTGTTTTCTGGTGAAGGTTGTGAAGGTTAGTATTTTCACCTATCACAGAGCTGCCTTCCACTGTGTTTTAGGCTTAGACTGTCAAGCTCAGTTGGTTCAGTTCCTGGTACTTGATCCTCTCTAATGCCAGCATTTCTAAGACCTCGTGGCTCATTGTGTACTCCCATAGATCATTGTCAACCAGTGAGGGCTAGTGTGTGGACACCTCCCCCTAGTGAGTGTTCAGCTCTGAGGTATGGTCCACTAGAACACTCCTCAAACTCTGCTTAAAGGTCTTTTGTAAGGTGCAATGCTTTAATATCCTGCTTGGAAATGAATTTAGGATTCATTCTTTATCACTGGTATTGGGGAAGTTATTTGGTCCTTTGCTTCAGTTTCCTCATCTGGAAAATTAGAAAAATGCTTTGATTTATAGCTGCCAATAAATTGTTGATACATGAAATTAAAAGTGCTTGCTACATAGGAAATAATATGTAGGTTATATATAATTATAGTATGATGCACTATAATTATGTACTTGACTAGTACATAATATATAATAATACATCTATTATTGTCGACATTCTTATTATTATAATTTAATGGAAACTAAAATCCCCCAATAGAGAGAAGTCTATGGTTGTGGACATGGTGGATCCCATAATCCCAGGACTTGGGAGTCTGGGGCAGGAGGGTATCTGTAAGTTTGAGGCCACTCAGCTGCAGAGTGAAATACTATCTCAAAAACAAACTCCAACAGAAAAGTAAAAGGCATTTGCTTCACATGCTATCTTATTTACTCTTCAGTAATAAAGTGTGAAATGATGGCGCTTGGTATTCACATAGTTGGGCAAGATACCCAAGATGCACACATAGTAAACAACAGGAGGCACCTCCAGAATCAATTGCAAAAGCTGCTGAACTGCAGTGAGGGGACTAGGAACAGTTCCTCTAAGCAGAGGCTGGGCTACTGTCTTCAGGCTTAAGGAAGTAAATCAAAAGAATCTTGAAAACAGGCTTTCAGGACTGACAGCAACAGGAAAAATTGGCATGTGGCTTCATTTTCCTCTTGCTTTTAGATGCCACAACTTTCAATTCTCCAGAGATACCCACCCCATCTTGCTCCCTCCCATATGCAGTGGCAAAGTCCCTTTGCTGTTTTATTGCCTGTGTGCTCTCATTTGTATGCTAAACCATCTCTTCTTAAATTTTATTTACATAATGGATTCCCACAAAAATCAAAACCACGGGTTGCTTTTACTTCTGTGCTCCCAACAGGATTGGGAAAGTTAAATTCAATTTTGCCTGAATTTCTATCAGCCAATTATAAGGGTACTCTTCCAAATGACAAACCCCAAAACAAAACCACTTGCTTTCTTCTTTGAAATCTGTTGAAGTGAGGAGGGGAATGAAAGCTCATGGAGCATAAAGTCAGGTAGGTCTTATGCTCATGGGCTTCAGAAGTTCACATGTATGGGCTGCTCTTGAGTCCAGAAGAAAACAGTGATGACTCATCAGTTCAGCTGATTCACAGAATCTTATTTCTGGGAAGAATAAGCTAGCACTATACTAGCTGCCAATGTGACTTTGTACCTTACCTCCACAATGGGGTACTTCTTTACCCAAGTGCTATTTGCTGGATCTGGAATGGTTCTGCAATACCATTGAGGTCTGAGAGTAGAAAGGAAAGCAAATACCCTATAAATAAAACAGTGACATTTGGTTTAATATGTGTGCAAAGGCTCAGACTCAGTGTAGTTATTTTAGGGGACAGGATTCTTTTGTACGGAAAGAGTAAAAGACAAAACCCTTACAGAAGCATTGTTCAAGTACAATAAGTCAGGATGCAACCACTTAGAGTTTGCTACATAAACTAAAAATTTTTGCTTCACATAATTTTTAATAGTCTCTCACTATTTAGCCATGCATTAATTCAGCAAATAACATTAAACTAAACTTAGCATTAAACATGCTAAGAATAGAAGAGCAAAGTAGAAGATACTGTTCATATGGTTGGGGAATCTTACCAATAAGCTGATTAAAATATTTACAGAGTTTGTAATACATTATAATGAAGATTTAAAATAGGACATAGAATAGTATAATATCTTGAATATAATCATATTAAAATGCCAAGAAAAGGGTATTCTAAAGAAATACATATTAACTGGTTACACTTTGTGATCAGAGAAAATAAAGAACTCTTATAATGTGGCGAAAAAAATTTGAGCTTATAAGTGCACATGACTTAAACTATTGGCCATTAAAGAATCAAAATCAGTCAGGCAGTGGTGGTGCACGCTTTTAGTCCCAGCACTTGGGAGGCAGAGGCAGGAGGATCTCTGTGAGGTCAAGGCCAGCCTGGTGTACAAAGTGAGTTCCAGGACAGCCAGGGTGGTTACACAGAGAAACCCTGTCTCCAAAACAAAATAAACAACAAAACAAACAAAAACAAGGCCTGGAGAGATGGTTTAGAGGTTAAGAGCACTGACTGCTCTTTCAGAGGTCCTGAGTTCAATTCCCACCAACCACATGTGGCATACAACCATCTATGAGATCTGGTGCCCTCTTTTGGCATGCAGTTGTACATGCAGGCAGAACACTAGAGAATAAGTAAATAAATCTTAAAAAAAAAAAAAAGTCAAAACCAATACAAAGTTGTTCGAAGACCAATAAACTTTGATGAAAAGGGGCCAGCTATGATTTAACTGTTAGATCAGTGATTCTCAACCTTCCTAATACTGCAGCCCTTCAATACAGCTCTTCATGTTGAGGTGACTTCATAAAATTTTCATTGCCTCTTCATGATTGTAATTTTGCTGCTGTTATGTATCATAATGTAAATATCTGATATACAGGATATCGGATAAGCAACTTCTGTGAAAGGGTTGCTTAACCACCAAAGCGTTCACAACCCTCAGGTTGAGAACCACTGTGTTAGATAGCTAGATATGCTGTGTGGTGATAGCGATAGCTTGGATGTGATTCTCTATGACTCCTGAGATAAACTTTATCAATATATTTTTAAATTATTTGTTTTTGTCTTTTTATTTGTATGAATGTTTTGCCTGGTGTCCACAGAGGCCAGAAGAGGGCATTGGATCCCCTGGATCGAGAGTAACAGACAGTCTGAGCCACCATGTGGGTGCTAGGAAATGAACCTGAGCCCACCACAAGAGCAATGGTGCTTTTTAACTGTGAACCATGTCTCCAGCCCCTTACAAAGTCTCTCCAGGTAGAGCTACCAAAGTGCACTGGCTGGCAGAATGCCAAGCTAGTTGTATTTGGCACCCATTACTTGTTATCTGAAGAAAGTTTTGTGTTGAAAAATGAATTCATTTTTCCTTTGTAAAATAATGTTTTTTAAAATTAATTTAAAATATTATTTTGTATTGGTGTGGGTGCACGTGTCCTATCATGCACGTGAAGTCAAAGGGCAACTTGGTGGTGGTTTCTAGGTATCAATCTGTCATCAGACTTGGTGACAAGTGCCTTTACCCACTGAGACATCTGTCTTGTCAGCCCAATTTTTATAAAATAAATAGAAATAAAGTCACGTATGGTTTATTCCCAGATAAAACCACCATTTAACATTGTGTTGTGTATCTTTGGGGCAGAGTGTTCATCACCACTTAATATTCTATTTCCTCCTTTTTCCTCAGTTCAGGATCTCGATTTATGGAGATGACCATGAATGCAACTAAAAGACCATAATGTTAGTCACTCTTGCCACACTGAGTGCTGTCTGTCGAGGTATAACTGCAAGTATCATGTACAACTTTCAAGCTCCTTAAAAGGGAAGATTTGATACCTTTATCCCCCACTCCCCATTGTAGAGTACAATAGCTGTAGTACCCACAGCCATGAGATCACAGGGTAAAAGGTCATGCAGAAACTGTACGATGACATACTGCAAGATATCATCCAAATCAAGATAGCGCAATAGACAATTTGTTCCTATCAACTGTAGAGCTACCAAAGCAGCCCTTTACCCAGGTGAGAATCTGCCACACAGCTGACATAGATTCAGACTGATCGAGTACACACAACCAATTACTTGTTGAGAGAGCTTGTGTGGAGGTTCTAACAAGGGAACATAACTGCTCATATACTCTTGATGGAAGAACAGTCTTGTACCTTTGGGAGGCACTGCAGAGAATGATGAGGGAGAAAGGGTAACTCTTTCTAGTTAGCCAGAGGAGCTGAGTCACCCTAGTGATTAGTGGGGTGTCAGATGTTGTAGCTAGATTGCCTTCTTCTCAACTGTGTATGTGACATGTTTCTGTGTATGTATTATTTCAAAATTTAAAAATACTGTTTGCAAAATTTAAAAACAAATGTAACATTCATTACATTTAACTTCAATATTTAGTGGATAAATAGTAAGTTATTTGCATGTGTGAACCAATTTAGTCTCACTGAGTATAGCATGTAGGTTGTTTGAAATATTTTCCTTACAAACAGTATTTCAGTAAGCATATTTTTCATTAGCCATATACATACAAGCTATGATATTTTGAATATATTTGTTTGGAATTTTAAAGCTAAAAGTACACTTTAAAAAATTTATCACACATTCAGCCAAAAAGGTTGAATAAATTTATTCCACTACCAGCAATGTATCCACCTGACCCAAGGCAGCAATTGCTTATATTTTTAAAATACATTTACAGGGTTGGGGAGATGGCTCAGTGGGTGCTAGTATTTGTTGTATAGCCATGAGGATCTGGTTCACTTCCTTATATCTCACATAAAAGTCAATTATAGCCAGCCATGTGTACCTGTAAAGCCAGTGTTGGGGGAAAGAAACAGGACAATCCTGGGAGCTGGCTGGCCCACCAGCCTAGCTTAAGTGTCAACCTTAGAGTCAATGAAAGACCCTGAAAGGGAATAAGGCTGACAGCATAATGGAAGGCACCCAATATCCTCCTGTGCCCTCCACATACCTATGGATAGCTGCATGTTTCCCCATATGTGCATACACATACATATAATACACATACACACACAACACATGTATTAAATTGGGGGGTGTAACCAACTCAACTCACTTTTGCCGGAAGGGGCGAATAGAGAAGATGCCCACTGTGATGATAGCAATGCAAATGCTTGATGCCACAAATGCTTTCCAGTTGGCTTTGCCTAGAAAGTTAGCACATCTTGTTACTGTGTTATCTTCGGTAAATACTTGAAAAGTCTGACTTTTGTGAATCCTCTGGACCTTAACCCACAATGCCTGGGTAGTTGGACTTAGAAACAAAGCCAACTCATTTTTGACTATTCAGTTAGAAGGACACTATGGGGACCCAATTGTATATTCTAAGAGGTTCTCCAGCCCTACAAGGGCTCCCCCAGCTCACAGGTGGAAGGGAGCATGCAGTGGTGGATAGAAGCCTCACAGGGCTTCCTGGATGAGGGGTAGTATTTCTACTGCATTTTGAAAAATGAGTTGACACTCTCTTCAGGCAGACATTGCTGTGGCAGGGCAACATACAGGTTAACAGCAAGTGTGAACTAACTACCTGCAAGAAAGCCACTATTGAGGTCAAAAAAGCCCAGTGGGAATGTGTCTATGTCAGAGTTCACAGTGGACTGGCTGTTTTTAGTTTCTTACCCTGTAGACAAAATTCCCTTTCATTTCCTTTGGGACTTTCACCAGCAGCAGTCAGAGCTGTCATCCATAAGACATATGTCACTTCAGGCTGCAGGCTGCTTATTGGATATGAGTTTTGGGAGTGTCTGTATGGAATCTCTAAAAGGAAGATAAAGGAAAACATGGCTGTGTAAAGAAAATAAGCAATGTGGATACTTACCTATTTTTATTTTTAATGTATCATTTAATTTTAGAGAGAAGCATATTTTAACAGCATCAAAATTCATCAGCACTTCATACTTCAATAGGCATTTATGAAGCCTTATTACTATAGCTAACAGTTTTTCCATGGTAAAGATATTCTGAAACAATCATTATTTTTTTCTCAGAAATTATTTAGCTGAAGCAATTCTTTTGTTTCCTATGTCTGTATTTTTAATAAATATTAGGTCATTTTAGAATTACTGAGGAAATTAGTATAAAATTATTTTTAAGATAATAGTTTGTTTTTGTTTTTGTTTTTTTGAGACAGGTTTTGGTGTGCATTCCTGGCTGTCCTGGAACTCACTCTGGAGATCAGGCTGGCCTTGAACTCACAGAGATCCACCTGCCTCTGCCTCCTGAGTGCTGGGATTAAAGATGTGTGCTACCACTGCCCAGACTAATAGAATTTTTAAAAAATATAAGTATATCAGTTAATGAAATATTTACCTGAAGTTTTTTACATTTGTCTTTTATTTAAAAATTGGTTTCATTTAATTTTATGCATATGGGAGTATTGCTTTCATGTATGACTGTGTACTAAGCGTGTGCTTGCTATCCTCAGGGGACAGAAGAGGGCACTGAATCCCTGAAACTTGAGGTGCATGCAGTGGTGAGCTGCCATGTGCATGCTGGGAATTAAATCTGCATCCTCTGAAAGAGCAACCCATACTCTTAACCGCTGAGCCATCTCTCCAGTCCCCACTTGAAGTCTTTAGATTTTAGTTGTTAGGCTCTGGTCTTGAACTTACAGTGCTTAGCTTCAGTTTCACATAAAACTATTAAATCTAGAGACTTCCTTGCCTCTCAGATTGCAGTTCCTTATGTTGTCAACACTCCTTTAGCTTCTCTGCAAGGTAGAGTGTTTGGAGTGATGTACTATGCTGCTTTTCTCTTCCAGGAAGCATGAGTATTGGTAGCCTTTAGTAAACAGACAGTCTTCTGGAGTGTTCTGGAGTGGGTTTCAGGGTGACCCTTTACCATGCTGAGTACGGTGGCACAAGCCTGTAATCTCAGCATTCGGGAGGCAAAGGAGAGGACTGGAAAATCAAGGCTAGAGGGGATAGTCTACAGCTTTGTTAAGAGGGTTTGCCTCCTGTGTTCAGTCTCTGGGTTTCATCTTCAGCATCTGCACAGCCAGAACTTGAAGAGTAAGTAGCTGCGGGCTCTCTCAGACAGCCTGTGCCTATGCTGAGAACAGTAGTGGCAACTGGAATTTAGCACTGTGTCTGACTTCATAAATGGGCCCATTTACAGTCATGGATGTGTGCTGGCTGCTCTGAACACAAGGCATCACCTCTGAGAATTCACCATATAACAGGAAGAACAGGCATTGTCTACTCTTCTGTTTCCACTTCCTATGGCTAGGTGGTAAGAAGCAGCCCTGGAATATTTCCTCTGCCCCACTGAAAAGGGTTGAGGCCTTAACAGATCATTTCAAAGCACTATCAGAATAACTGCTGTATTTTACAACCTGTTGAGAAAAATATCTTGGGGAAAATTCCAAGGTTTTCGATAGCCAGTGGAATTGCCTATACAGTCTTAAGCAAAAACTGAAGCAATGTGTGTATGTGTGTGTGTGTGTGTGTGTGTGTGTGTGTGTGTGTGTGTGTATCCCTATTCCTAAAGGAAGGGATTAAAATTTTTTTAAATTTTTATTTATTTTTTATTTTTTTTAGGAAGACCTTCTGTTCATCTTGTAGGCAGCCGGGAGTCAGCTGTCCAATTGTGCAGAGGTGTCCTGAGCTGGGGAATTGAGATGAGACACTGGAACCGGAAGGGATTTCTATGATTTGCTGGGCTGGTAACGTTCATTCGCACATGCATATTCAAAGAATAAAAATAGCCGCAGATGTGGGGAGGTGAGAGTGGTGGAGTCAGCAGTTTTGTTGGCCAAACAGGCTGAGTTGTGTAATGAGAGACGTCAAGCAAGAAAGACTGGTCCTGCTGCCTTTGGGCTGTGATCCCCAGGAGAGATAAAGGGGTCGCTTCAAGCCTCAGTGGATGGAAATTTTAAACTCGGGTGGTTCAGTGATAAAGGGATGAATTTAGAAGGATGTAATCGCTGCCAACCATCTGAAAGACTGTGTCTATGAAGGTCAAGAAGACCAGGCTGAACAGCTACACTGATACTGGGCATGAATTCAACCATTTGTTACTCAATGAATACCATGCTTAGTAAGTGTACCTTCCATCTCTCTGGCTGTGTACTAGAGGAGAGAAATGGTGATCAAATTACCATAGCTGTGTCCTTGAATGCTTAGAATTTGTTGGCAAAAACAGCCAGTGTCATGTGTCCTGCAGAAGGGAGGTGTGCTTATTGTTGAAACACTAGTTCGTATGGCCATGCCAGCAGATATCCAGACAAAAGGCTGTGCACTGAATGCTGGGCACTCTTAATTCTTCATCTCACTTCACCTGTCCATGTAGAGCCAGTGACAAAGATCTGATATTTCCACATGTGTTTGCACTGATCTCTGGGACTGAGTACCTAAACCAAGCAGATAGGGTTGAGCCCCTTTTTCTTGGCACTGGCAACATTTTTCCTGCTATTGGGACCATTTTCTTTCTGGGTGTCTTGTTTTTCCTTGATCTTTCCCATCATCTAGAATGGGTCTTGAATTTAGTGCTTTCTGGTTGCACCGTCCTACTGTAGTGGTTGTTTAGACTTTTCTAGAACACTGAAGACTCTGAGGATAGGGAATGTATGTACTTACTGGAGTAAGTGCAGATTTAGACTAGTATAAAATCAGGCTGTGAATCTTGCCTTTTAGCTTATTTAAAAATACCCTTGTGTAGGCTCTATATGCATCAGATATGTGACAAAATATAGTAGATTATTTTCAACATCTACAGCAACAGCTACAAAAGACCAACTAACCATATTGATCTTTGTGGTTGTAAATTTTGGTTTAAATGTTGCTGAAAGGAAAATTGTTTCTGGGGTAAATATTACAGGAAGGATTCCAAATAGCCCATGAAAAGGCCAGTTGATTTGCCAGCTTTAAGGAGGCCTCTCAGAACTCTTATTCTCACAGGCCTGGTGACAGATTAGCTAGTAAATGATGGTAAGTCTACAGAGCTGTTAATTAAGAATGAGTCAACTCACAGAAGACAGATGTGGAAAAATTATTGAAAGTGCAGGTACATAGAGAAAGATCCCAAACATACATACATACATACATACATACATACATACATATATATATATATATTTTTTTTTCCAGAGTTGCCGAAGAACTTTTATTTTCTCTCAATACTAATTTGAGAGTCATAATTGAGAGAAAGCTCAAGAGATAAGACAACTTTTCTTAAGGTTCTGAGGCATAAAATTCTCCCGTGGCAACACTGTGGAGCCTGCTGCTCAAGCAGTCTTAAATTTCTGAGCCAACAACTCCAATGAAGGGATAAAAATGCCCCTTCTTTCTTTTTTTTCCTCTTTTTTTCCTGTTCTTTTAAAATTTAATTTAGAAACAATCTTATTTTACATATCAATCCAAGTTCCCTGTCCCTCCCATCCCAACATGCCCCCAACCAACCCACCCACCTATCTACTTCCCAGGGAGGGTAAGGCCTTCCATGGGGGAATCATCAAAGTCTGTTACATCATTTGGGGAAGGGCATAGCCTCCCCCCGCTCCATGGGGAATGGGGTTCCAAAGTCCATTTGTGAAAATGCCCTTCTTTCTGACAAATGCTCCGGAAAGAAAGTCAACTGCTTATGAAACAGAAGGCCAAACCAAGAAACAACAAAAAATAAAAAACAGAAGAGCTTTGATTAGATCAAAGATCTGAAGATCAGATCTCACAAGTGACTAGTTACTGAAGGAATGATTCATGAAACCATTTGAGATAGTGCTCCAGCCAGAATTTATTATAATTGTTTTGCTTCTTCGGCTATAGAGCAATTACGGGCTATAAAAGAGTTATCTAATCTGTGCTATATTTTATCCATTCCAAGAAAAAATGGTAATTCCAGATGTGAAGAGTTAAAATCATCTAAATGTTTTGAATCTCAAGGAAGTATATAATTAGTTGCCAGCTCTTTTAGAATCAACCTCATCAATGCCATTATAATTCTTTTTTTTTTTTTTTTTTTTTTTTTTTTTTTTTTTTTTTTCCGTGACAGGGTTTCTGTGTATCTTTGGAGCCTATCCTGACACTCACTCTGTAGACCAGGTTGTCCTGGAACTCATAGAGATCTGCCTGCCTCTGCCTCCTGAGTACCAGTATTGAAGGCGTGCACCATCATTGCTAATTCTGAGCTTTCTTGAGTGTCATATTCCTCCTATTTGCTTAAAAACTCTTGCTAAACCATGAGTTTTGGGTCGTAAAACTGGATTTCTTTTTACCTTTTACCTGTCTTTATGTGTTTGTTCATCAGTGAACAAAAACACAATGTTACTGTTTGTCATTTGTTTTGAGACAATGTCTCACTGTGTAGCCCAAACCTTACCTACCTCTTCTTGCCTTAGCCATCCTAGTTTGGTCTTTGTGAGCAGGCACTTTGAGAGCCTGGCCCACTCACTTCATTTCTTTATCTTTAACAGTTTGCTTAGCATATAACACATACTCAATAACTTTGCATATGCTCATTTAGGTGTCTTTTATTTTTCATAATTCAACTCATTTCACAAGTGCTGACTTAGAGCTAGCACTCGTGTGTAGTGAAGACCTGCCCAATTTGTGCTTTCCCAACATCTAAACAGGAGGCCCCACAGCACTTGGTTTTCACACATACCACAGAGCTGAGGCTGCGCAGTAGAGTCTCGCTCTTTCCAGTATATTCTGTAATGGAGGAGGCAGCCCATCCACTCTTGGACTGGGATATGGGACCAGGAAATAAAAAGGCTTGCCTTTTTCTCTTCGATGGCAGTGATATGAGGGCCAGTCAGTAGTGCTGGGGAAAAGGACACAAGAGGTTTCTGTCACCCTCCAAATGCAAACCTCTAACAGAAGCTTGAGTGAAAGATCCTCAGGGTCACCTTTGTGCTTGGAGTCACCCAGGATGGAACTGCAACCTCCTTGGTCCTCTGACAGTGCGTGTACCCGGATTTCATAACAGACGTAGGGACTGATATTCTCTGCACGGGAATGGGAATCATGTTAATACCTGTATCTCAAGTCATTTTTAGGCTTCCTTAGTTTGGAGATCAAAGAGCAGTCTGGACTGAGAGTAAAGGGGTGGCCTAAGTTACAGTTTCCCAGAATCTTATTTTCTATGATGTCAGCTTCTAGGTACCACTTCCAAAAAAAGTGAGGGATTTTATTTACTTTTATGTTAAATTCTTTCTATGTAGCCCAAACTGGCCTCAAGTCCTCAGCAGTCCTCCTGCCTGAAACTTCTTAGGCCAAGAGTTCAGGCATAGATTACTATGCCTAGTTTCTTTATTTAAGAGAAGAGAGTAATTGCTCTTAAAAGGGAGATAAAGACCTTTAAGAAGCTCCATTGAAGATTTAAACATATCCATGCAAATACAAGCATACAGAATATTGGATTCTACAAGGGAGTCACTTGTTTGTATGGAGCTGCTGGAGTTTTGCAGGAATAGCGTCTCAGTGGCTTTCCTATGGCTCACTGGTTTGTGACTAAGGAGTACATGTGGTAGAGTCCAGCCCCTGGTTCCTGCCCTTAGCTCTCCTCCAGTTAGATCTTAGTTGCCTTACAGCCTCAAAGATTAAGGTGACTTCCAGGCATGTTAATGCTCTAATCTAGCTTTGAAATGCTATACTTTGAAATTTTCTGTCAGTCATGAGGAAAGTGAGTGCCTCTTCCCCGCCCAAAGTCTTCCCAAAGTACTCCCTGGGAAGGACAGTAAAGTCCTTATAGCACTGCTCATGATGTACCTTTAAAATTCCAACTCTTGCTAGGTGTGGTGGCACACACTTGAATCCCAGCACTGGGGAGGCAGAGGCAGGTGGATCTCTGTGAGTCTGTGGCCAGCCTGGTCTACAAAGCAAGTTCCAGGATAGCTAGGGCTATACAGAGAAACCCTGACTTGATAAACCAAACCAAACCAACCAACCAACAAAACAAACAACCCACCTCCAAATTTCAGCTTATTTTTTTGTTTTATATATGTGTGTATGTGGGTTGTGTGTGTGGGTTGGTTGGTGTGTCAAGGAAGCCAGAATAAGGTAGGCATCAGATCCCCTGGAGCTGGAGTTACAGGCTCTTGTAAGCTGCCTAACATGGTTCCTTTGGGAGAGCAGGAAGTGCTCTTAACTGTTGAGCTATCTCTCTAGCCCCTAACTTCCAAATCTTTAAGGGACAAGAGAGATGACTCTCACTAGGTAACTATAGTGTCAAGTACTTAGTGCCTCCTGGTGGCTCACTTGGGTTCCCTATACTGATAATTGACTAGGACTTAATGTCTTTTGGGGGCAGACAGGAATTTACCTCACACAATTATTGATTAAATTGTGAGTGTTTGAGATAAAAGTCCATTAAATCATCACACAATCATTGTTGGAAGAGAACCTGACAAGATTCATGTGAAAGTGGGCACCAACTTGAGTTCATAAACCAGAGAAAGTGGAGAAGACATTGCCACCTTAGTCTGAGGAGTGGCCATGGGACTCCCAACTGAAGGGCATTGAAGGATATGGAATCATACTTCTTTTGGAAAGGTCTAGCAAGTGGCTCTTATTTCCAGTGTTTGGTTCACTTTCCTGTCCCAGGTCTTAGGAAGAGCCAACTAACCCACTGCCCTGTGGAGACCCAGAAGTTTCTGATGAGCCTTGCAAAGCAAAATGTGAGTGAGGGCACTACTTTACCAATTGGAAGTTGTGGCTCTTCCCCCTGTGAATCGACTGCCCTTGGTCAAGGAGGAAAGGCAGATACATGTCTGTGTATCTTCATTGACATTTTCCCTTTGAAGAAGAGCAGAGCCTTCCTGGCAAACTTTTTCCTGATTCTGGCCCCAAGGAAACTTTTTTTTGGTCATTTTGTATGGACAGACCCCCCACCCCCGAGTGTGTGTGTGTGTGTGTGTGTGTGTGTGTGTGTGTGTGTGTGTTTGTGGGTGTCTGCTCCCCACTTAAAGAACCTTAAGTGGAGGAAGCCCACCTGCAGACGACTCTCATTTCCTTTGCAATATGGCCCCGTTTCCAAGCTCATTTCATGTTACCATGTTGACCTATATGCACAATGCCCCTGGGCAAAGGCCTTGGCTCTCGTTTATAAGTTATTTTATGAATTTTTTTTCTTCAGAGATTTAGTTTCACATCAGGTGTGGGAGAAAGTAGACAACTCTTCCATGAATAATGTAACCAAGAGTCATTCTGTACACACTGAGACTGGCATGTGGCAGAGGGACTCAGGTACTCTAGGTCTCAGGGAAGAGCTTCCAGACACTGAGATACAGTAGGTAGACAGAATGGGGCTGATAGTCTCTAGCTCTGCCATCCCAAGTCCAGGAATCACGTTTATTCTGACTCATTCCAGGACATTGTGACTGACCATACAACCAAAGTCAGAAAAAGCTTGTAAGCACCTAGTGGCACTGGGAATGACATTTGAATTCGTGGTAAGTAGCAATCAGTGAATTTTTCAGTTCAACAGGAAGTGATAGCAAACCGATTATTTCCAAATGGCAGAACAATCTCAATCAGTTATTTTGCAACTTTATTAAGTTGGTTTTATTCAAATGCATAATTCAAAAGTAATTCAGAAATTTTCATTTTACTAAGGAGGGAGAACATGCTTGTCATTTACTTTCTGGTATTTCTATAGAATTATCTGATTTCCAAAAGAGAGGCAAGGTTCAAATTGTCCATGAGGGATGAATCTTGATATTACCTCCCAATTTAGCCACCACTTTTCCTGTCCGTGTGTCATTTAATTTGATGGATGTGATAGCCCTCAAGGGAAACTGGTAGTACAGCAAAGCCTCCAGCTATCCCAGAAGTCACAAAGCTGATCCCAAATTTGATGCCTCCTGCACACCTTCAGTTCTACTACTCAGGAGGCAGAGGCAGGAGGATCTCTGTGAGTTCTGTGCCAGCCAGGACTAGAGTGAGACCCCGTTTCAAACAACAGCAAAAATTGATGCCTTCTTTTCTTACCATTTCCTTTCAGGGTTTGAATCTTGCTTTCCTGAGAAACCATGGAAATACACACATACTTTTGGATGTATTTATATTAAACACAACAACAATAATCAAACTGTTTGCCTCATCCCTTCTAAATTCCTCTTCTATGGGCTAAGTGGTTTCCAAATGAAAAGTTCTAGATTCTCAGTGGCTTGCTTTTCTTTCTCTGGATGCTCACTGTATGCGCCTCCTCCTTAAGGGTTATTAAAGAGATCATAACCCATTAGAAGTCTGGGCAGGCAGGCCATACAAGAAGCACACTGTCAAGGACCAACTTAAATGTTATTGTATAATATAAACCTTATCTTAATTGGGTTATATACATTCCCCTAGAGAGATATAATGATTTTCATGGTAGAACAACAATACAGTTTAGTGTTTACAGCTTGTGAGCCTATTCAAGTCTTTTTCTTTTGTTTTCTTTCTTTCTTCCTTTTTTTTTCTTTTGGTTTTTTGAGACAGAGTTTCTCTGTGTAGCTTTGGAACCTACCCTGGCATTTGCTTTGTAGACCAGGTTGGCCTCGAACTCATAGAGATCCACCTGCCTCTGCCTCCTGAGTGCTGGGATTAAAGGTGTGTGCCACCAATGCCTGGCACCTATTCAATTCTTATTTCTGACACATTTAATCATAACCACTTAGCTAAATTATTCAGTACTTGAAATAAGCTAAGCACTGTTCAGAACATTCTCCATATATTAATATAGTCAGTCCTCATAACCACCGAGATGAGGAAAGAGGGCCATAGCAGAAATCTGCCTAAGATCTCACATCTGTTAGTGAAGAAGCCAGGACTCACACCTGGGTGAGTCTGTATAGCCTGACCACGAACCACAATACAGAACTTATATTGACATTAGGTTCTCTCTAATCCTTTTAATGTGTTTTCAGATACTTTCTCTCACTTTATTACAAACTCTGACAGAAACCTCACTTAGGAATAGAGATCCTAATTATATAATAGTTCAAATACCAAATAGCAGGATTGGGAATAAGGATTTCCTGGTTTTGTCATCTATATGATGGGTTTAAAATAATGACTCAATGAACAAAAATTGTTTTAAGTTAAATGGCTCTACAAAGATAAATATTGACAACAAAGGTTTCTGCCATATTTACTCTGTTCAATTATTCTTTCATCTTATTGGGCATGGTGCCAGAGGATATAATTCTTCCATCAACGAGACTTCTTTAGTTAGTTGGTCCTCACATTAGTCCTGAGCACAGTCTTTTTGTTTTTTCAAGACAAGGTCTCACTATGTAGCTCTCGATGTTCTGGAACTCACTATGTAGATCAGTCTGTCCCTGAACAGAGATTCACCTGCCTCTGCCTCCCAAGTGCTGGGATTAAAGGCGTGCACCATCACATCTGATTTACAGGGCAGTCTTGATGGACTCAAGGTTCCCACTGTTTAGGACTTTAGTATGCCATGTTACCCTCTGTAATTGAAGACAAAATTGCTTAAAGTCTCCCTAGATGTCTTAGGGTTTCGATTATTATTATTATTTTTTATCACTAAAAAAAAAAATGGCTAAAGGCAACATGGAGAGGAAAGGGCTTATTCCATTTTACAGCTTGTAGTCTGTCATACCAGGAATTCAGGGCAGGACCCAAGGTGTGATTCTGAAAGCAGTATCTGATGCAGAGACCATGGAGAAATGCTGCTTGTTGGCTTGCTCCCTACAGCTTGCTCAGCCTGCTTTCTTAAGGCAACCAGAACCACCTGCCCAGGGGTGCCACCACTCCCTGTCGGTTGGACCCTCCCCCATCAGTCATTAAGACAATACCCCGAGAGAGACAGACACACACACACACACACACAGAGACAGAGAGAGACAGAGACACAGACACACACACACACACACACACACACACACACAGAGAGAGACAGACAGACAGAGAGAGAGAGATACAAACACACACAGAGAGACAGAGACAGAGACACAGAGACAGAGAGACAGACACACACAAACACACACACAGACAGAGACAGAGACAGAGACACAGAGACAGAGAGACACACACAAACACACACACATACACAGAGACAGAGACAGAGAGACAGACACACACAAACACACACACACACACGGAGAGAGAGAGAGAGAGAGAGAGAGAGAGAGAGAGAGAGAGTCATGCCTACAGGGCAATCTTTTATTTATTTGTTTATTTGGAAACAATCATTTCTACAGGGCAATCTTATGGAGGTATTTCCTCAATTGCTTTGATTCCCTCTTCTCAGATATCTCTACCTTGTGTATCAGGTTGACATAAAACTAGACAGTACACCAAAACAAATGGGATGTGAGCAGTGAGGTACCTGAAATCAGAGCAGACATGTTGTAGGGAGGAATCCGAAGCCAGTGTGGGGGAAACGTCATGATGCTTCCTGGTTGTAGAGCCCTCCATTCCACTATGTACTCCCGAACAGCAGACACAGCTTTCCTGGGAGGCTGCCAGGTCACCAAAATGTTGTCCATGTTCCCTGACTTTGCAGATACCCAGTAAGGAGCCAGCAACCCTTTGGTGGTGAGGAAGAAGGACAAAAATCAGAATGGATAAAAATGAAAACAGGAACTGGAGAGACAGCTTAGTCAACCGAGAATTTGAGGACACGAATTCAATCACCATAACCCACTGGGGGAAAGCAGGCATGGTTGGTATGATAGTGCACACTTGTATTCCCAGTTCTGGAGAGGTGGAGATAGGAAGATCCCTGGGGATCTCCAGCTAGCCAGACTAGCCTATTAGTAAGCTCCTGGCCAGCGACAGACCATTATTCTTATTTTATTTTTTTAAACAACAAACAAAAAAAATAAGGTAGATGGTGCCTGAGGAATGACTTCTACCTAAAGTTAGCCGGTGGCTACACGTGCACATATGCATCTGTTCATACATGAACACACACACACAGACACACACACACACACAGACACACACACACACACACACAGAGAAAGAGAGACAGAGAGAGACAGAGACAGACACACACACACACAGAGACACAGAGAGACAGAGAGAGACAGAGACACAGACAGACACACACACAGAGAGAGAGAGACAGAGAGAGACAGAGACACAGAGACACACACACACACAGAGAGACAGACAGACAGACAGAGAGATACACACACACACACACACACAGAGACAGACACAGACACAGAGACAGAGAGAAAGACACACACAAAAACACACACACACACACACACACAGAGAGACAGACAGACAGAGAGAGAGAGACACACACACACACACACACAGAGAGAGACAGAGACAGAGACACAGACAGAGAGACAGACAGACAGACACACACACACACACATACACAGAGAGAGAGAGACAGAGAGACAGAGACAGACACACACAAACACCACCAACACACACACACACACACAGAGATAGAGAGACAGAGAGAGACAGAGACACAGAGAGACAGACACACACACACACAGAGAGAGAGACAGAGAGAGATACACACACACACACAGAGACAGAGACAGACACAGAGACACAGAGACAGAGAGACAGACACACACAAACACACACACAGACAGAGACAGAGACACAGAGACAGAGAGACAGACACAAACACACACACATACACAGAGAGACAGAGACAGAGAGACAGACACACACAAACACACATACACAGAGAGACAGAGACAGAGAGACAGACACACAAACACACACACACACACACACACACACACAGAGAGAGAGAGAGAGAGAGAGAGAGAGAGAGAGAGAGAGAGAGGATACTCTTTAGGGCCTTCCAGGTCAAGGTTTAAGGTTATGATTTTCAGTTCATGGAGGATTAGCCTCAGCAGCTTGTCCTATAATCCTGTGTAGCTTTCTTTGTGGATTCCTCATTGAATTAATTCACTTACTGCATTTACTTACTGCATTCCCTCAAAGGTAATGTAATATACACCAGGGTAAATGTAATATACACCCTTTTAATGACCTCCCATTTGTCTCCTTAGACACAAATGTATGACTGAAAAGTACTGTGACCCTTTGCTTGTGTGTCGTATTTTCACAAAATATGCTATGTTTTGTCAAACCTTTTCACTTAGCTCTCTGTTTCTGGGATTGATTCCTTCTCCTTCTTTATGTAAACCTAGCTCACTTCACACTTCTGCCTAAGCCCTATTCTCATCTGTTCTCCAGTGACCAGCAGGAGTGTCCTGACACAAGGACACACTAACTGTTCGTTCTCTGCATCACCTCTCTGCATGTGCGAGACCATTCTGGATGCACATGCACAAAACCGATGAGTTAGGGAGTGGCCTTCTGATTGACCTCCCAAACAGATGGATGGGAGGGGGATGTAGCCCTTGCCCAGTCTGATTGAGGCACTGTACACACCCACAGAAGGTAAAAAAATTTAATGGCACATTGACACTTCACCACAAGTAGCTAGCTTGGGAATTCTCACTTCACCTACTTCATATTTCCCTTTCTATGTTTATCAATTTGATAGGCATAAAAAGATATGGGATTAAAGGTTCAATTTTCATGTTTGGTTTCATAAGGCCAAGCTTCTCACTGACTCTTCTGTGACTATTGTAAACTTGTCTCGTTTTTCTGTGTGTTTCTGCTGTTTTCTGATTGGCAGGTAGCTTTGGTGATCCTAATTACTTTTCAGTTTTCTACTCTGAATGCAGCCAGTTAGTTCTCTGACAACTTTGTTATCTACAGTGGTGCTGGTAAGTTTACCACAGTTTTGGTTTTGAGTACTGTTTGCAAAATTCCACCACCCTAGGGTTATGAACACATTCAACTACATTGTCTTCTATTGGCCATTACTTCTGCTTTTTATGCTTTGGTTTTCAGTCCAAAATATAAGCTAAAAAGGTTATTTTTTTTAAAAGGGAAATGCTATTATTTATTTATGATTTCCAGGGCCGCCGTGTTTGCATTGTAACCTGCACAGACACATCCTACCTGCTAATCCTTAAATATTCACCTTTCCTTTCTTTTCCAGGGTAATGGTAGTGGCTTCCTTGGGGTTTTACTTCTCTGATGGGTTAAAGAAGAATTGGGGTCAGGCAGTGGTGGCACACGCCTTAAATTTCAGCATTCAGGAGGCAAAGGCAGGTGGATCTCTGTGAGTTTGAGGCCAGCCTGATCTACAGAATGAGTTCCAGGACAGACAGGACTGTTACACAGAGAAACCCTGTCTCAAAAAACAAACAAACAAACAAACAAACAAAGGAACAAAAAATTGGGTAATGGGAAGAGTAAGTATGATCAAAGTACATGGTAAACATGTATGAAAATGTCATAATGAAGCCGATGAACATACTCTAATAAAAATAATAGAAAAACTCTTCTTAAGTAGAAATGAAAGATACTTTTTGCTAACCCTCCAATTAAAAGTAGAAACATTACTAACTAGAGAAAAAAGCCTTTATGCCCTAAGAATGAAATGTTTAATTAGAACAATAAAAAACTATAAAGCAAAAGGCACTTAATGACAATAAAAGTAGTTTCCAATGTACAGACATTTATTTCTATCTGCAGTGAGGGTCATGAGGAAGGTAGGAGGAGGAAGAGGATTTTGCCTTTTTAGTTTGTCTTTTTTTACTTGTTTGAGGACAGAGTCATTTTCAAATGCTGTATATGCTTAATTGGAAGTTGGAACTATTGGCACTAATTTTTTACTATATGTTTACATAGACTTAAATTGCCAATAATTTTGTGTCTGTATTCACAAGTGATTTAAACAATAATCTTTCCTGTACTGTCTTTATTTGCTTTTATTAATAAAATAAAATTGATCGTAAAACAATTGACCCCATAAAACAGATTGGACAGCGTTCCTTATTTTCTGTCTTCTGCCGGAACTTGGATAAAATAAAGTTATGTATTTTCTCAGGGTTCAATTGTAAAGTGGTTTGTGCCTGGGAATTTTTTAAAAAGCATAGAGGTGGGGATAAGTTAGCTCTAACTTTCTAAATGATTATTATGGCTGCCTTTATTTTATGTGTGTGTTTTATTTCTTATGTGTGTGTGTACTTACACGAAAGTGTCGAAGCCTGTATGTGGAGGTCAGAGGACACCTTGCAGGAGTTGGTTCTCTCCTTTCACCATATAGTCTCAGGGCCAGAACTCAAGTTGTCGGGCTTGACAGCATAAGACCTTTCCTGCAACTCATCTAGTCAGTCTGAGGATTTTTTTTAGAATTTTTTTTTCATTACATAAATATTGAGTGCTACAATTTGCAGGACCTTTTATCTGAGGTTGCACGAAAATGCCCCCAAAAACCCCTTTCATCTCTACTTTATCTGGAATTTGCTAAGCAAATCAGCCTGCATCTCTCAGATTCCTTCAGCCTTTGGGTCATTATCTGGGCATGAGGCTGTAATTCCTTCTCTAGGATGTCTACCGTGGTCTTCCCTTCAAGACTCTGCTAATGCCTCACCTTCTGTCAGTCACCTTCAGAATCATCCCTTTATGTGAGGCACGGATGATACACACCTTTAATCCAGCAGTCGGGAGGCAGAAGCAGGTGGAGCTATGTAAGTTTGAGAACAGCGGGGGCTACAGAATGAGACCTTGTCTCAGAAAACAAACACAAAATGAAATAACTTCCTTAGCTTCAATCAGAATATCCTATCTCCATGTTTCCCAAGATCCTCTCTGTGGAGTTCTGATGCTTGCAAGGTACCACCTAAGAAAAAGGAGGCTCACCTTTTCTGTCCTGCTCTGTTGCTTGCTGGATGTTTGATCTCAGATTGCTCCGATTATTCTCATTAGTGGTTTACTTTGAGTCACTAATAATGCATCAGTATTGAATTGAGGAAAGAAATAAAACACTTCCTCTTGGAGTCATTTAACCAAGAGCAAGAACAGATTTGAATTCTCTACTTCATGTTCTCTATCTTCTGTTCTTTGTCCATGCGTGTCTGTCTGTTTTGTATGTTCTCTGTGTGTCTTTTGTATAAGCTGTAAGTGTCTCTGTGTCTGTTATATGACTTGTGTGTATATGTATGTACTGTGTGTGTCTCTGTCTGTGTGTGAATGGTGTCTGTTTTACTGTCTGTATGTGTGTCTGTCCTTTCACTCTGTATTTATTGAACAGCACAGAAAGCATCACACCAGGAAGGAATGGGATACTTGACAGAAATCGTTAACAGAGTTGTATAAGGAGTCGTCTCTGGCTGCAACTGATCCCAACTGATCCAGATAACAAATATCATTGTGTATCAAGCAATATCCATACACGATCACTTTTAACCTTTATAGTAGACTTTAGGAGGTTGCCTTCAACTTCTGTATTTGCTGCGTTTAGAAAATGATACACAAGCATTGTCAAGGTCAGGGGCATGGAAGAGTACATGATTTAAGATTATTCCTATGCATTAGCTTAGGTGCTAAAAATTTATTATGTGGGAAATCCAAAGCAAGTAAAGTTGGTTGTTACATTGTTTTTGTAAAAGTCAGGTTTTAGTAGACAGTAAGCTAGCAGCCTTAAGTGACTTCAAGGTGTATTATTAACTCTGGCCGTGAGGTTCAGCAGAAGCACCAGTCTCTCAGTATGCAAGAGAGAATATCGCATCACTGGGTGTTATTTCACCTTCCTGAGCCACCGTCTCTGACATCTGTGTGAGCCATTGTGCTGGCCAGTGTTTATGTCAACTTGATACAAAGTAGTGTCATCTGGGAAGAAGGCATCTTTTTTTTTTTTTAAGACTTACTTATTAATGTATTTTATGTATATGGGTGCTCTACTTGCATGTAAGCCTGCATGACAGAAAAGGGCATCTGATCCCATTATAGATGACTCTGAACCATCATGTGATTGCTGGGAATTGAACTCAGGACCTCTGGAAGAGCAGCCAGGTTCTCAACCACTGAACCATCTCTCCAGCCCTGGGAAGAAGGAGTCTTACTAGAGAAGATGCCTCCATAGGATTGGCCTTTAGGCAAGAATATGGGCATTTTGTTGATTCATGTGTGAGGGTCCAGCCTATTGTAGGTTGTGCTACCCCTGGGCAGGGGCTTTTAGGGTGTATAAGAATGCAGGCTGAGAATCTATGAGGAGCAAGCCAATAAAGAAGTATGGTCTTAGCATTCCTGCATGTCCTCTGCTTTAGCTTCTGCCTCCATGTTCCTGCCTTGCTTGGACTTCTGTCCTAACTTCCCTCAGTAATGCTCTGTTACCTGTATCTACCATTCAGTGCATACCAAGTCACTGGATTTTATATGTACGTGCATGCTTTCTGTTCATGTTCATATATGTGCAGGAATGTGCACATGCACTGTGACTGATTTTTATGTACCGCATCTTAAAAACAGTATCTTACTACCATAGAATTTGCTTTTAGGAAAATCTTGTATACAGGAGCCAGAAAGATGGCTTAGCAGTTAAGAGTAATTACTACTCTTGCAGAGGATCCAGGTTCAGTTCCCAGCACTACATGGCAGCTCACTACCATTTGTAACTCCAGTGCCAGGGGATCCAACTCCTTGAGCAACAAGCACAGTTGTGGTATACATACATACATATGTTTTACATAGGTAACACACATATAAAATAAAAATAAATCTTTAAAAAATCTATTACAATACTTATCAATGGAGGAGAAACATTAAATATAAAAAATAACGGGGGCTGTAGGATGGCTAAGTAGGTAAGATGCTGGCCATTAAGCCTGAGTTTGATCCCTAAGATCCACTTGGTGGAAGGAGAGAACCTACTCCCAAAAGTTGTCTCTGACCTACAGGCACACAGTGACATGAACACAAGCACACATACTAAATCAATAAATGGAAAAAATAAAATGTTTATTTATTTATTTTGGCTTTTCAAGATAAGGTTTCTCTGTGGCACCCTAGCCATTCTGGATCTCGCTCTGTAGATCAGGTTGGTTCAGAGACCCATCAGCCTCTGCCTCCCAAGATCTGGGATTAAAGGCATGGGTCATGATGCCCAGCTTAAAAAAGATTTTTTTTTAAAGGAAAAAAAATACCCAAAGGGGGTGGAGTTTGAAGAAAAATCACCTGTAAATCCACATGATGCAAAGATGACCTCTGTTAATATTTCCATGGCTTCTGCTAGTCTTTTTGTTTTTAACTTAGGAAAAAAAATCTGCTCATATACATGTAGATTTGAAGTGAAATTAAATCCTCCCCCATTTTGGTGTGTGTGAGGTATCTCTCTATGTGTTCCCGAGTGGCCTAGAGTTCCCCATGTGGACCAAGCTGGCTTTGAACTCATGAGGTTCTGCTTGCCTCTGCCTCCCGAATGCTGGGACATGTATACTTTTAAAAGACTGCTTTGTTGCTTGTAATGTAAAATTTCCCATGGAACAGTTAGTGACATGTTAGTGTGTGATTAAGACAGACAAAGGTCAGATTTAACAGTCTATTCTCTGTTGTACATTTAGGTCAGCTATAGTATTATGCTGCTTCAGGAAATCTTTTAAAAAACATAATTATTTATTTGTGTATGTTATATAGCACAGGTTTGAAGGTCAGAGGACAACTTGAGGGAGTCAGTACTCTCCTTCCACCCTGTGGGGTCTTGGGGATTGAAATCAGGTTATCAGGCTTGGGGTAAGTACAAGTCAAGTCAGTCTGACTTGATTTTTCATCCTTTTTCAAAATTTGCATCACCTTAATTGCTAGCTATGTTAAACATTTTCATATCTCTATTGTTGCTTTCATAATGGGGGGTCATGGAGATGCAATGGGAGCAACCCTAGGGCCTGTGTATATTAAGAAAGCACTCTCTGAGTTATACAGACTGGGCTCTCATACTTTCTTTTTTGAGTTGTGTGTTCATATCCCTGATAGCCCATATATTTGAAAAAAGTACAGATTAATTAAAAATTAATTTTAAAACATTAATATAGACAAATTTATAGACAATATCAACTCTATGCTAAAAGATGATATATAAATATATCACACATGTATAATATATATGTTACACACATATATTTAAGCTATTATTTGCATTTTATGCTGTACTTGCATTTTTTCTTCTTTTTGAGACAGGATCTTACTATAGAGTCTACACTGGCTTCTAGCTTACAAACATCTTTCCTAGGCCTTCTCTTTGGGTTACAGGTATGCACTATCACACCTGCCACTTAGGGCGTTTTTAAGATACACTTATTTCACACTGTATGAACTTGGAAGTATTTCCCCATAGTTAGAGAATCCATTTTTTCCTTCATGTTTCTTTCTTGAGTGTTTTTCCCACAGGAGGAAGGGATCATCCATTGCCTACCAAACAACTTTTCATCTTCTTCAGGAAGGGAACGTGGCTGCCAGAAATGTGCTTCATGACCCTTCTTTGCAGCTAGGTGTGGTCAGGTAAGTGGTGAGGGCCAGCAAGTGGCAGCAAGTGCAAAGTTGCTGTGCACTGGGGTGAACTCCTGAAGAATAGGGCCACTCCCTTTGCCTCCTCTCTGTTCTGCTGCCTACAAAGAAACAGCTAGAGCTTTGGCAGCCTTTTGGACCACTTCCATGTGAGGATGAATGCCAGCTTTGGCAGAGGGAAAGAGAGAGGAGCCTGGAGCAGTGATGTCACCATCCTGAGCTATCTCTCTGTGAACCTCCTTCATGTGAGAGGGCTAATGCGCCATAGCAGTCAGACCTTCAGTCAGACCGACTCTGAGGAGCAATTCCTAACACAAATGCTAAATCAAGGCAATACCCATGTTTGCTGGTATTTCCATCACATGTTCTTAAAACAAGATTTACTGGTGCATCTAAAACAATAATGTTTTGGGACTAGAGCGATAACTGGGTCATTAAAAGCACTGGCTCTTCTTCCAGAGGACCCATGTTAGGTTCCCAGCACTCGCATGGCAGCTCACAACCAGTAACTCCAGTTCCAGGGGATCCAATGCCCTCTTTCAGCCTCCATAGGCACTGCATGCAAATGGTACATAGACACCCATGCAGGCCAAAGACCTATACATATAAAATAATGAATAAATCTTAAAAAATAACATAATCTTTTGGCAGAAATTTCTTCAAACTGATGATTGCTGGACCCATGTATGTATAACATTTGACACTAAATTATAAGAGAGGGTCCAAGTGTTTTATCTTGCTTAGACTTTTTTTCAGTGCAGAACTTGAGACATAGCATACGATTCTTTTTTTTTTTTTCAGCTAATAAGGTTCTTTGAGGAGGTAATTGTAGAAGATATGATTATAAATGAGAAAACCTACATCTAGTTGGGATTATTTTTCTGAAGACAATTATATACATATTTAAATGTATGTAATAAAGAACAAAATTTTATCACAGTTTCACTAAGGTCAGAATTTTATTTTAATTCTCGGTTTTAAAATATAAGTCTAAACTTTTTTTGTCTAGAATTTAGCAATATATATTATTATTATTATTGAATCTATAAAATTAGTATAATTAGAAAATATTATTCTAATGTAACTTTACTAATACTTATATAAGATTATAGTCACAGTGATTTGCAAGACAGTAAGTGCAATTTCCATCTTACAAAGAAATTGAAGCTCAGAGGGTTAATTTTAATTCACTTGCTCAAGGTCATCCCCAGAGTAACAGGAACAGACAGCTGTTGACTCCAAAGTTTAAACTCTTGGCACTCATACCACGCTCTGGCCTGCACCTGCAGGAGAAAAATGGTGAGGGATACAGTTTCCCACAGGCAGTGTTAAGGTGACTGGGTACCTACCAGTACCACACAGGTCCACTATGTTCATAAGAGTGGCTGCAGAGGTGCCTTTCGAATTGGCTGCAGACACAGATGCAGTCCAAGCCCCCATTCTGGGAATGACCCCAGTCCAGGAAGTGTGTTCTGTAATGTTCTGCAGGATGATTTTCCTTGTCACCTCCCATAAGGTCACCTGATAGTGGAGGATTTCTCCCCTTGCCTCTGATGGACTCAGACTCTGCAAGAAAACATATGAATATCCTCTTACTCTCAGACAACAGCATGGATGCTCTTTATGCCTGCACCACCTGGCCCAGTTGTAGGAGACTCTGTCTTAGTGAATATTTTATGTTTTTTCATCTCCACTGTACACTTTCATTCACATCCTCACAGCTTCTTTTTAGTTAAAAAAATGTTTAACATTTTAAAAAGATAATTCTGAAAAACATTGAGTTTCTTTCTTGGTAAACACAACTGATTGGAGAACTGTGGAATCTGCCTCTATAAACACTGGCTCTGAGCTGTGAATTTGCCGTCACTCAGATCTTGGGGCAAGCACTCAGTTCCTCTGGGTTTTTATTTTAAAATTTGCGAAACATATTCATAGAGAGACACACAGAGACGTTCACAGAGACACACTCACAGAAAACGCATGGCCATGGGTGGGGGACAAGGGGCACAGGGGGACAGGGTGCCTTTTTGTTTGTTGGTTGGTTGAGACAGTGTTTCTCTGTGTAACCCTAGATTGGCTTCAAACTCAGAGATCCACCTTCCTCTGTCTCCCAAATGGTGGGACTAAAGGTGTGTGCCACCACCAGCCAGTAAGGGTACCTTTTTAGATATAGAATGTGCAAGGCTGCTTAGAACATCAAAACCACCACTTTCGCTTTTCCCCTGCCACCGCCGAGTTCCACGGAGGCAGAGGTTCGGATGTGTTGAAGATTCGGCCTCACCCGTAATCCACCGCCATGGCCGAGGAAGGCATTGCTGCTGGAGGTGTAATGGACGTCAATACCGCACTCCAAGAGGTGCTGAAGACCGCCCTCATCCATGATGACCGTTCCGCAAAGCTGCCAAAGCCTTAGACAAGCGCCAAGCCCATCTCTGTGTGCTCGCATCCAATTGTGATGAGCCTATGTATGTCAAGTTGGTGGAGGCCCTTTGTGCTGAGCACCAGATCAACCTAATTAAGGTTGATGACAATAGGAAACTAGGGGAATGGGTCGGCCTCTGTAAAATTGATCGAGAGGGGAAACCATGGAAAGTGGTTGCTTGCAGTTGTGTAGTGGTTAAGGACAATGGCAAAGAATCTCAGGCCAAGGATGTCATCGAAGAGTACTTCAAGTGCAAGAAAGGAATAAATAAAAATTTTGGCTCAAAAAACAACAAAACAAAACAACCATAACAACAACAACAACAACAACAAAACCACCACTTTGAGACGCCAAACTAGTAAAATGAGACTTAGGGACTTGAATTAGCCATCTGTGCTAGGAACCTAGTACCAATCTGCAAAATTCTGATTGAGATCATTTGGGAGCAAAGGCACAAAGTGAGCAGAAACTGTTACTTTTCTCTTGTTTTGTACAATGGCCATGGCAAATGGAAGCATAGACCTGAAGAGTTGTGAAGTTTAACCCTGGCAGTGCTCATCCCTGCCTACTGCAGGAAGAAGGCTTGGCTAACAGATTTAAGTGGCATAGTTCTCTGCCACTCTCTATCCGTTCATGGCAGGAGACTGTTTACTGGAAGACACACTCGTGGGCCAGCAATTGCCCTTGCTCTGGTTCCTTGCTTACCAAGAGGCTAAGTCATTTGGTTTCCTATGTGGTTTATCTGTCAGAACAGTTTGGGCATGAACACCTGGCACACTTCAGTTCTTTCACTTTAAATGAATAAATTGCCTTCCTGATTATAATTTGGATTCCGAGACATTTAGTACTAGAGAATGTTCTGTTTGCAGAGTCAAGTCTTCTGATTGGCCCAGAAGCTACATTCTTGTAATTAATCATTGAGCTCTCAGCTCTGTATATTGCCGTTTCTGGAGCTTAGTTAAGGCAAGTCTGTTGGAGGAAACGTTTGGTCCACAAGTCCTAAACTAGATCTTAGCCTGGCCCAGTGGACTGGGTGAAGACAGTGCTGGTGGGGAACATTTGGCAAATATTCAGCATCTCCCTGAAGTTATCATTTCAGGTGTCCATTACGTCCACCACAACCAATCTCATTGCCTGTTGTGAGGATTACATAAGCATTTTCTTGTTTTTAATTATCTGCCCCTTTTTTTGTTTGTTTTGTTTTGTTTTTTGTTGTTTTTTGAGACAGGAACTCACTGTGAAACCCTCAATGGCTAAGAACTAACTACATAAGCCAGACTGACCTCAAGTTTTGCTAGTGCCCCTGCCTCTGGGATAATAGGTGTGTGCCATTACACCCAGCTATGAAAATGTTTTCAAAAGTTAAATGTTCTAACATTGTATTAATAAACCTGGCCTTTATCTGAGGAGAAAAACAGCATAGATGAAACAAATGCTTGTCAGGGAAGCCATCCTCAGGCAGAATTGGGAGCTGTGTGAACAGTTAAATTCTGAGGAATGACTTTATGTGGAGAATTTGGCCCAGTCTATGTTAGATACACTTATCTCTGAACCTTTAAGGCTGGCAGGGAAGGATGGAGTAAGAGATAGCCAAAGGGGTGCCTTTCCGTAGCCAGCACTTGCTTTCTTCTATAGTGTTTTTCTCCTTCTGTTGTGATGTGTTGTTCCTCAGGCTCGGGACAGGGAGAGGCTGCAGCAATTGACAGATAGAATCCCAGTCACCCTCCCAGACCAAAGTTGCAAAGCGACCTTCTCCAGCTGTGGGGTTATGATGCATTCTGACACACAGCGTCAACAGAAGGTATGCATTTAGCAATTTGGGAAGGGAGGGACATAGTTTTTCTCCAAGAGCCAGAAGGCTCTGAGTCACGGGAGACAAGAGGTGAATTCTGAAGATAGCGATCCTGACAAACCAACTGACTCTGCAGATAAACATATTTGTACTCCAGTGCTGCTCACTTGAGGAGGTGATAAGGGAGAAAATAACATTTGCTTAACCATGTGCTTTACATTCCTTGTCACGTTTAGCTCTCGCTTCCCTTTCTGAGGCTTGAGCCCAGGCTTAGAGCAGTTGAGCAACTAGCTCAAGCCGTACCCAGAAAGAAGACATATGAGTTTATAGAACGCCCCCTGGTGGATGTCAGGGAGGGGCCTTATCTGGAATGTGCAGTTGCTAAGCCTGGTAGGGTTTCTGACACTTGGCTCCTTTCTAGAAGCACCGAGTACAAACAATGAAAAGAAGAAATGCTAGGTAGCTATGCGGCACAGCAGACAGAGCACTGGCTCTAATGACAGAAAGGGAAGGCCATTAGAGTTTTACTCATGCCAAAGAAGAGCAGCAGTAATCAAGACCCCTTTGAAAGCTCAGGCACTGGACCTGTCAGTCACAGCTTTCCTTTCCTTTCAGCTTTGGATTGCTGCTGGTTTTGTGCATGGTGATGCTGGGGATTGAATACAGGCCCTGTGCATGCTAGTATGTGCTCCTCGCACTGAACTGAATCCCCACCCTTCATCTTAGTAGGAAGGACCTTTGAATTTTCTCGCTTCTCTGTGTAACATCTGGTGCACAGTTATTTTATCGCTCTGAGACATAATATCCATATTTTCAAAACAAGGATAATAAAAACTCTTGGCTATCCCTTTATGGCAGCCTCATGTGCATTAGTATTATCTTAAGTTTCCTCATGAGGATAGTATGGGCAGGGAGGCTAAAACACCTTGCTCAAGAACATGTGAGGTACTTCACCATGTAGCTGCAACAGAACACATACAAAGTCCTGCTTGCTCATAAGGTCAGAAGTTAGCACCCCAGCTAGCCCTGGCATGCCCCTCAACTGCCACAGAAATTAGTAGAGCACTTAGTTCATTAGGTCAGCATCCAGCACCTTCTTGTTCCCAGATTCCCCAACTCCCAGTCATGGGAACCCATGTAGAGAACCCATTTGCTTGTCTGGTCAGTGACCAATGCCCCTTCTGATCCTGAACGCCACCACCTTCCCGGCCAGCACATGGAGATCTTGCCTGCTTTTCATTTCAGAGACTGACACTCTAGCACCTCATCCTCAGCTGCCTTAGAACCTTGTAGTGAGTTAACTCATCAGATCTAAGGCCAGCACTCGTGATGGTCGTGATACCCCACCACTCTGCTACCACAGAATTGCATAGAGACCCCATGGGCTCATTAGGTCAAAGGCTAGCATCACAGCTGACTCTGGCATCCTGTCTCTTTGATTCTGCAGAATCACATTGAGTGCTAGCTCATAGGTCAGAAGCCACACTCCCACTACTCAGGAATCTCCCTTGCCAGCTTACACAGGTTATCCACTTGGGAGGTCAGAGGTTGTGCCCCTTCTAACCCAGCTAGTGCCGCCTCAGCTACCCATCACATACCAGTACTTCGTGTTCCCATGAGTGAAGTTCAAGCATCACAGCTGACCCCAAACCAGATAAGCTGGGTGAATTCCAAGCAAAGATCCAAATAGTCACCAACACAGGTGGGCTAGACACTCAAACCAAAGCAAAGCCAGTGAACAACACCAGATATAGAAATTCTAACTCAAAAAAACAAACAAACAAAAAAACCCTAGACAATATGTCTCCTCCCAAAGTGGCCAATCCCATAGTGATGGTCCCAAGGGGAGCAACTTAGGTGAAATTCCAGACAAAGTGTCCACAGAATTACAAATATATTCAAAGAATTCAAAGAGGATATAAATAAGCTCCAAAATTAATTTCAAGAGGACTGGAATAAACTCCTAAATAAATTCCAAGAGAATTTGTTTGCACAAATAGCTTGAATAAAATAGTCAATTCAGGATACAAAAATAAGTTCAATGAAGAAATAGAAATATTGGGAAAGAAGCAACCTGAAATGAATAGAAATGAAAAGGTAAGTAAGTTAGATTTAAAAAAAAACGAATCTTAGTGGAAAACGTCACCAGAATAAGGGACCGTGATAAGGATATACTCTCAGGGCTAGAAAACAAGGTAGAGGACTAGATCCTTCAATTAAAGAAAATTTAAAGACTTGTTTATTTTATCATGAGTTTTTGCTTGTATGTATGTGTGTATACTGTGTATATCACATGCATGTCTTGTGACTAGGGAGGTCAGAAGAGGGTATGAACCCCTGACACTGTCGTTA